CCTCTCCAAGCCAGTCACGAGAGGATCCTCTATTGGCCCAATGATATAATACCAGCTCATCAAACAGCTTTGATCAATCAAAATACTGTATCAAAAGTCAAAAGCCCGCTGCCTCCAGCTTTCCATGAAGAAGTGCCCGTTTGGGCGGGCTTTTACATAGCAGCTTCTGCATTTCATGAATATCATAAAACTGTTTTGTTAAACATTCAAAAAGCCAAAATTATATTTACAAAAGCAGAAGCCCTCCCAAACGGACTTTAAACTTTTGAAGAAGCAACGCCGGCCGTCGGGGTTGGTCCCAAGAATATTTTTTAATACACAGAAGTAGATTAAACGACGTTCGAAGCCAAAATTTAAAAAGTAAATAAATAGTAATAGTACCAACTTGTTCTGTGCTTGGTGGCTTCCAAAAAAACAAATGAATTTTTAATAGTTGGCTGCCAATTGCTGTCTTTAGTTGTTGAGCAAAATGATTTCATAAACATTTGCCCTCGGAGGTTGACCTTCCCCATACTTGCCCTGTTGCAATTTGTATCGTCACTAGGCACGGGTAGGTCTGCAAACGGATTGTTGTGTATTTTGCAATGGCAAGGTGTGTGTATGAAATGTTAGTCTCCTAGATTTCAATTTGTAATTGAATAATTGAAAGTTGCACTTTACTAAACCCAAGTGCATTTTAGGATCTGTTTGATTTGTAAGAATAGGAGTGGGAAATCACAATCATTTGGATGGATAGAATTGGAATTCGATCCTTATTCCATCCAATTCCTGGTGGAATGATATTTCCCCATTAAAGGAAATGGTCATTCCCAACTCTGCCTTAGGAATGAAAATTCATTCTAACCGATTCTGATTCTCATCAAAACTAAGCATGCATGAAGAATATGCTATTTCGATTCCAATTCCAATTTCAATTCTAATCCGAATGCGAATTAAACGGATCCAAATTATTATAGAAGGAATTCGGATTATCCTTTTTAGTTTTTTCTATTTTTTTAATTATTGGGGTAGCCCATCCCCATACATGTAAAACCACTCAAATCGGATGAAAATAGGGATGTTCACGTTGAGCTGTGGAGTTATATTTTGAACCGAACCGATTTGGTCGATTTTTTAAATATCCGAACTGAAACCAAATTGATGCAACCGGTTAACCAATCGACTGGTTAATCGGTGACCAATTAACCACGGTTTGATTTTTTTATTTTTTTATGCACTTAAAATAAATAAAAAAAAGACGGAGAAAGGTAGACCACATTTGACTCCCCTACTCTGCTTTAAAAATTCCATAATCAGACCACAAAATATCCAAACAAAGGAATAGGAACAACTGATGATCGCTTTTACCTTCTTGTCACTGCCGCTCTAATTGCAGAGAAGAGCATTGATGATATCCTGCATAAACGGGCGATTTTTCATGTATTTGAGCAGTGAGACCAAGACTTTCAGCTGTTAACGGTAGATGACAGCCCTGTTTGATGATTAAGTACTTGTTATATTAAAATAAGTAATTCTTAGAAGTACTTATTTTAACAATCACTAAAGTTGTTTGATAACCCACTTTTCAAATCACTTATTATGTTTTTAACTCTTTATTGGGGTGAGAATGTTTGGTAAGTTACTTTCCCCATAAGTGTTTATATTGATACAAATGACAAATTTACCCTCCAGTCAAATCTCTCTCTCTCTCTTCACTAGAGCTATCGGAATCACCAAAGCTGTAGATTGGACAACAGACTCCTCCAATTAACAACCTTCACAAAATTCTAGGATTCTCATTTCCGCTTCCCGAGTCTCTCATTTCTCTGTCTCATCTTTCTTTTTCCTTTCTTTGGATTTTTCGACCATTCCACGATGATTCTGCCGTGATTTCTGTAGAAGACATTGTTTTAGTTCTACAATTTTTCTGTATCGTGCCATTTTGTCTTCGTTTTGCTGCTTCTCTCCTTTACTGAAAACCATTTTTTATTACTCTTCCTGTTTCCTCAATATTCCTTGGTCGTTCTTCTGATTCTCTCTCTCTTTCTCTCTGATACATTCTACTTTTATCTCTGATACTTATGGATACTAGCGCCACCTATCAGAATTGATATCGTTTGATTTGTTTTCCACCAAATGTGATTCCACAATTGGAGCTACCATTTGAAAACTTCTTTTGTATGTTCGCCATCCGTAACTTTTGCTTCTCTCTTCATCAAGTGTTGGCTCGGGAAGTTGATTGTTCCTCTTTAACTCTGTTTCAATCGATAATAAATCAGAAAATTTAGCAATTCCTATCAACAACAACTGTAACTCTAAAGAAAATTTAGCAATTTTTATGAACAACAACTGTAACTCTTAAGAAAAACTCCCAAATCCCTGTTTAAGTTAAGAAAGTGTCGAAACAACTTTGAAAGGAAGAAAGCATATATGCAGCATTATCGTAGTTCCTTTAATTTCAGCAGAAGTCACGGCAAGCGTCTCGCAAAATGTGACCGAATGACCGGAGACAGATTTATCACTAAGCCACCGCAGTACAGAAATGAACAAAATCAAATAACGTCCCAATATGGTCAGATAGAAATAAAATGACAAGAAGAAAAATAAAGAGAAAAAGAGAACCCACAATTGGGGGGTGCAGACATGAACATTGTATTGACCTTGTCGGACCAGAGCCTCGACCAAGAAGGTAAGGCCCGGGGCATCGATTCCATCCGCATTAGTGACTAACACAACAGGTTTGGAGCAATCCTAATCGGAAGAGGATGGAGGGGAAGAAGAGGAAGAAGGTTCTGTGGATTCGTTAGTCTTGTTGGACTATTTGTCGCCGCCACCTTTTCTACTGGTTAGAACGTCTTGTAGATTAGATATTAGGGATGGGGGTAAAAAGTTGTTCTTCACAGAAGTCATCATTGAGATGCTGTCGAAACTAAAAATTAAGGAGGGTAATAAAGCGGGCGATAAAAAGGGGTCCCTAGTCTCTAACAGAGATGAGAGAGAGAGAGACCGAATGGAAGAAGATGATAAACTTTTCTTTCTTCATCAGCGGTGGCTTTTGCTCACTATGGAACGTCACCAGTGGACCTGCAACTAAATGTTGCAAGTGGACTTACAACCAAACGCTGCCGTTGATAAATTCGAATGGAAGAAGAAGATGATAAACTCGAGTGAGAGTAGTTTTGTCATTAAAGAAAAAAATAGGGACAGGTTTGTCCCATTTGAATGAAGAAGCATTTCTTTAAAAGGTGCTGAAAAAAGCCACATCCATGTTACTTTTTTAAGAATTACTTTTTTTAATACTAAGTACTTATCCTTTTTTTTACCAAACACTCATAAGTACTTAAAAATCACTTAATGTATGGTCTCATGTCTCAAAAGAAGTACTTGTTTAAATAAGTACTTCTTTTAAGTGTTCTCAAACAGAGCTGACATTCAAGAAATGAAGAGACATGGCATATGACAATAAATCAATTTGATCGCAATTAGGGGTTGTATAGAAGTCAGAGCACGTTACCAAGCCAGGGTTTTGGGTTTTCGTCTTCTACTCCTTCGATTTCTAGGGACAAAGGAGGTAGAGAACTGAAACCCTACACTATAACAGTGAAAGGTTTCTTTCTTCAGAACTGAGGATTGAGAGAGAGAAAGGGAAACTAGGAAAGGCCCGAAAGGGTGTTAGGTTAAAATTRAATCGATTTTAATAAATATAATATTATTAATATATATCGGTCGATTTGGTTAATTGCTGAATTTTTTAAAAGATTAACCGAAACCAAATTAGAACTATTGGATTTTTAAGAATATCAAACTAAAATTGAACCGACCAATTTGATTAATCGATTTTTTGGTTCGTTTTTTTTTTCTCACCCCTAGATGAAAGCAGGATTTGATTCTAAATCTTTGCTATAATCAGCCTGAGACCTTACCATTTGGCACTTTCCCAACACCAATTATCCAATTCATCACCTATAAAAAAAAAAGAAAAGAATAAATTACAGACTTACCACCTTGTAATTTGGACGGTAATGACTTAGCCCCCAAACTTTCAACTGTTACAAAGACGCACCCTATGTTTTCAAGTTCCAGCACTTTGACCCACCCCCAGTCCCCCCTTAATCGTCTTGATGGTGAAAATAAAATTATGAAAATGCCCATTTGAATTTATATTTTCTTTTCTATTGTTCTATCTTTTTGTATTTCCTATTTTTATCTGCAATTTGCCAATCTTCTGTTTTTTATTATCCTTCTTTTCAATGATTTTTGTTGTATTCTTTGTATTTTATACACTACCTTACTTTTCTTATTTTCTACAAAAATGGTATTATAAAATGATGGTAAAGCAGAGATGGGACGTGTGTATTTGAGAGAACTACCATAAATGTACCCCTTGTAAAAATTAATCAAAGTTGATTGCTCGGTTGCTCCCCATACGGCCATACCTTGTTTTTTATCTTCTTTCCGCCATTGAATTTCATTTTATTTTTTAATATTTATGTTTTTAAATTATATTTTACCTTTTTACTCTCTCCAGAGTTCCAATCTTTTTTATAAACTAAATTAATATGATTTTGTAATATTTAATAAAATATTAAAATATTTGTTCAATTAATATTGTTTTATAACTTTTCTATTATTTTATAATATTATAATATTTTGATCAATTTTGTTATTATTATTATTATTTAAATAACAATTTGAGGAATAAATTTGTAAAATATACTTTCGTTCCGACATCACAATTGATTGTGGAACAACTGAAAACAAATTTTACACAATATTTTCAGAGCTTTTATCAGATTTTTTTTTTTTTTTTTTAAGACCTTTACCGAACGGTGAACGTCCCTTAGACCAACAGAGAGTTTCAATCCTATTCCAAAATCTATCAAATCTTTCACATAAATGTGTAGCGTATACGTTGTAAGAGTTTCTTTGTCAGTACTCACTTTTATTATATTTTAATCATTTAATGGTGATTCGGGAAAAAAAATGCAGCAAAGTGGCTTTAAAAAATTGACGGTAATTGACAAATTGCTAGTTTCGGCGAAGTTTGAGTTTTCCACGAAAGTCGACCGCGGAATATTGATTGCTGCAAATGAAGAGAAAAAGAGATGAGCCTCTGGCGGCGATTAGCCGATGACTGTTCTTTATTCTCTCTTTCGTTCCTGGCCTTTACGTTGATGTCGTTGAAAGTTTGAGTGCCCTCCTTGGCAAAAGCATTAACACCAACCAGAAATCAGGGCGGAACCCCAAATTTTCCAAAAGAATTTCAGACGAATTGAATTCTAAGACCAATTTATCTCTGCTCCAACATGAGACACCTAATTCCTCGTTGTCCAGTCATCCCTTTTTCTCTTCTGTTCGGTGTCTTCTTTTACTCTTCTTTTGCATCTTCAACACCAAGGAGTTATCTGAGCAGACATTCCTCTCTATCAGTCGAAGATTTTGCTTCTGACGTTCTTATCTCTCCTGACAAATGGTTCACCTGTGGATTCTACCCGGTGGGTACTAACGCATACAGCTTCTCAATCTGGTATACCAACTTAACAGACAAAAGCGTTGTATGGATGGCTAATCGAGACAGGCCCGTCAATGGCCGACGATCCAAAGTTTTGCTGCGTAGGGATGGGAAAATGGTGCTTACTGATGCCGACGGCTCAATCGTCTGGTCCACCAACACCACCGGCACCGGAGTGAAAGCCGAGCTCCTCAATACGGGGAATCTTGTCCTGCGGGACCGTTACGGTAACATATCCTGGCAAAGCTTTGATTCACCTACTGATACTCTTCTCCCTTTACAGCTCCTTACGAAGAACACGAGACTGATCTCTGCAAAGGCCAAAGGTCAGTACTCCTCCGGCTATTATATTCTCTATTTCGACAACGACAATGTTTTGAGATTAATGTATGAAGGGCCTGACATTACTAGTGTGTATTGGCCTAACCCCGAGATGGGTGTGTTTAGAAACAATAGAACGAGTTATAACAGAAGCAGAATTGCAGTGCTCGACGAAATGGGTAGTTTTTCGTCGAGCGACAACACGGGATTTTATGCTTCTGATTTGAGTTATGGGATTCGAAGAAGACTGACCATGGATTATGATGGTAATCTCAGACTCTATAGCTTAAACGAGTCAGCTAGGCTCTGGGTTGTGACATGGGAATCTCTTCCGCAACACTGCATTGCGCGTGGGTTGTGTGGAAAGAATGGGATTTGTGTTTACACACCAGAGGCCACTTGTTCATGCCTGCCGGGTTACAGAAGAAGTGATCCAAGTAATTGGAACAAAGGTTGCGAGCCTATGTTCAAGAGAAGCTGCGACAATCCTCAAGATGTGCAATTCGTGGAGCTCCTGCATACAGAATTCTCTGGATTTGATTTTAACCTTGCGTATTCCATACCACTAGAGTCCTGCAAAGAGCTCTGCTTCAACATGTGCTCTTGTGAGGCCTTTACATATAGAATATCGGGAGACCCATTCTGTTACTTGAAAGCTTCACTTTTTAATGGGTACAGTACTCCGAACTTCCCAGGCAGTGTATATTTGAAACTCCCCAAAAGCTTGAAAATATCAGAAACTTCCACTCACATAGGATCTTCTAAACTCACTTGTGGAACTAACAGCACTGAACCCCTGGTGAGTCAATCTGGAAACTATAAGTTGAAGAACAAGACTACATGGATTTATCTCTATTCATTTGCCTTGTCGATTGGTGTAATTGAAGCATTAATAATTGCATTAGGTTGGTGGCTTTTCTTTAGCAGAAACGAGATGTCAAGGTTGATGAAAGATGGATACCGTGTGATGTTCAGTCAATTCAGGAAGTTTACTTATGCTGAGCTCAACAAGGCAACCAAGAAGTTCAAGGATGAGTTAGGGAGGGGTGGCTCGGGAGCTGTCTACAAAGGAGTTTTAGGGGATAATAGAGTGGTTGCGGTGAAGAAATTGGGAGATGTGATTGAAGGAGCAGAAGAGTTTTGGGCTGAAGTGAGCACATTTGGGAGAATTAACCACATGAATGTGGTTAGAATGTGGGGCTTCTGTGTAGAAGAGACTCACAGATTATTGGTCTACGATTATGTGGAAAATGGTTCACTTGATAAGCACCTATTCTCCAATGCCATCATTTGCAGAAATAGTAAAACTAGTTTTTTGAATTGGACGGACAGGTTTAGGATTGCTATAGGAACAGCGAAGGGTTTGGCATACCTGCACCATGAGTGTCTGGAATGGGTAATCCATTGTGATGTGAAGCCTGAAAATATACTTTTGGACAAAGATTTTGAGCCTAAGATTGCAGATTTTGGACTGTCCAAATTTTCTCAAAGAGGTGGATCTGGCTCAGAATTCTCTAGGATTCGAGGAACAAAGGGGTACATGGCTCCAGAGTGGGCTCTGAACCTTCCTATTACTGCCATGGTTGATGTGTACAGTTATGGGGTTGTACTCCTAGAAATTGTGAAGGGTACTCGGCTTTTCAATTGGGTGGTTGTGGATGGAGAAGAGGAGGCAGAGATAACAAGATTTCTCAAGATGGTAAAGAAGAAGATTGAAAGTACAGAAGATGCATGGGTTGAAGATATAGTGGATCCAAGATTGCAAGGACAGTTCAACAGGAATCAAGCAGTAATGATGATTAAGATAGGTATATCCTGTGTGGAGRAGGATAGAAGCAAGAGGCCAACCATGGACATGGTAGTGCAAGCTCTAATAGAATGTGAAGATGATGAACCAGAGATCTTTACTGCAAGCAATAGCATTTTGTAATTTATGGAAAGAAAACGTACAAAACTTTCTTTCTACCATCATACATGGATGTTATTTGATGTAGTGATTTGTATTTCTTATGAATACATTCAATAATTTATGCAAAGACACTGTAACTTACAGCAATAAGCATTATAAGATATTTTCATCAGTCTTTTTCTGTTAAATAATGTTTTGCATTCTAGCAAAGAGAATGTGTCCATTTCCAGCTTATGCATCCAAAAATGAAAATATCTATATACATGTATTCCATAATCAATAGTTCGGATAGGAGCATTTGTTGTTTGGCCAGTAAGTAACCTTATGTTACTGTAGACAAAGCAATACTACAGGTGACCCATGTGATAGATGATTGCATTGATGAGCTTACATCACATGTACCATAGCAAAAGTTAGTAGACTTCTCAGAGCAATACAAGAGTAATTTTACAGTAGAATCATGTCTTTCATGTCAAAATCCTGCCTTCTGTCTGAACTTGTTTGGCACTACAAATTTTAAGTTAGGTTACCATTAACCCCTGTTTGGGCAAAGCCATATCTGAAATGATGGAAGCTGTTCACAACCCAAATATAAAAAGAACTTTGCAACTTGCAAACTTGGAAGTGAACTTTGCACCAAATGAAAATCTTCAAACAACCTTAGGGTCTTGGTAATCTGGACGCTTCCACCATTATTGCTGTTAAGAAATCTAAATGTGACCTCATAAAAGGTCCCACTGTGACTCTATATGATTTATTTCTCTGTTCTATCAATTTCAGAGGACAACCTAGTGTCTGGAACATTACTGTTCTGCATCTACACAAACAACTAGACCAAAAAAGAAAGTGTGCATTCTGCAGATACAACTGATCCATGGACATGAATGCATAGATCTTCTTATCTTTGATACAACTGCAAACTGGAACATTTTTCTGTCCCTCAGCTCCCAAAAGCTTCTTCACTCTACTCACCTCATCCCACATCTTAGTTTCTACAAGTATATCTGCCAAAGGTTTGCAATTGCCTCCATTCTTGGGCTCAAGATAGAAAAGCCAAAAGCTTGCTTTCTGTCTCTGCAACCTCAACATTGCATTGCATCCTACATATACCAAAGACAGAACCCCAAACTGTGGCACCCGGTTCCATCTGCAACTCTGCATTCATTCTACCACTTTATCAAACTAAAATTATTGAGGTCCGGAAGCCACTCTAGCCAAGTCAAGTTGTTGAACCACCAACTCTAACCGTAATCCAACATTCCAACTTGATGACATTAATTGAGCTTAGGTTAACCAAGTTTGTTCACATGTTTGCTTTAAAAATGTACTTTTTATGATTGGTCGATTAGTATTAACCAGTTCTATGCTGCATTTGGCATTCCTTATTTTAAGGGCTTATCTTCTTTTTGTAGTTAAAAAGCCCCTATGAAGATTGAAGATTGAGTTTTTAACTGCAAAAAGGAGATAAGTCCTTAAAATAAGGAATGCCAAATGCAGCCTTAGTAATAAGGGCGGATCTAGGGGGGACCCAGGGTAGCCATGGCCCCCCTATGGTCTAGAAATCTGCACACCGAATACATTTTTTCTATGTAAGTTTCCTCCTCCCTCTCCTCACTTCTAACCCAATGGTTGGCCCCTCCTATGGCCCATCCATAGGAGGGGGCCCCCTCATAAAAAATTCCTGGTTCCGCCCCTGCTTAGTATCAATACACAAGTACACACGAGCAGAAAGTCATGGTGCTTTAAGAATGCAGTACTTACTAACATGTAAAATTGTCCACACATACATATGCATGCATAGGGGTGGCAATTTTACCCACATAACTGGGTCCCTGATCCGACCTGCCCCGAACGGGGCGGATTTTCTCTGGTCACAAATGTATACGGGTCAGGTTCGGGGAATTTTCTTTTGCCCTGGACACCCTTATATATATATATATGTGTGTGTGTGTGTGTGTGTGTGTGAGTGTGTTAAAACGTATTAGCCCTAAACCTAATAGGAGTTGAGTTATTTTGTTCGGTGTTTAGTGTTTACTGTGTTTCGTCTTCCTTCAACTGTTCAACAGGTCACCCTTCGCAGAATCACTAGTCCTTCAAGTCTTCAACCTTCGCACAACCGCCGACCATCCGGCGCTGCCGCCACCGTAGCACTGAGGAAGCGCCGACCGCCGTAGCACACTGCACAGAGGTGCAGCTCAGTCTGCACTCTGCAATCCTTCAGTTCAGTCTTCGTCTTCAAGACTTCTTACCTTCTCAGTCTGCATCTGCAATCTTCATTCGATCTTTCTTGCTCTCCGTTCGTCCGCCAACCGCTGGGCGCCACCGCAGCAGACTTCCCAGACTCCCAGTCTTCCTTCATTCTTCTTGTTTTTTCAGATTGGTACCCATTACAGTTTTTACAGTTTTACAGTTTGGTTTTTTCTTATCGCACAGCCTAAAATGAGTAGCTCAAGGAAAAAATCACACGTCTTCCTTTCTCTCACCGACTCACTCCCTCATTCCCCTTCGACTTTTCACACCCCTGAAGCATGTAAACTGTGTAATAAGATACAGTAAAACTAAAACAATGCATGCAAAGCTCCTTCTACAAAAACTAAACTTCAACTGTTTAGGCAGTAACCATGGGAATAGTCGTTCCCTTGTCTCCTCCATGGGCTGCAGAGTGCGGAGTGCCCCCTACTAAAATGACAGCATGTGCTTGATCTACAATCTGTAGAATTTCCATAGATAAAATTGGGTTAAGAAAGCAAATATTTTACAGCAACAATCATGTGCTAAATGCAGCAATCTGCAAACAGAACCTCAGAGAAAATCTTCTCTCCAGCAAGCATAACATATTTCAAATATCCTTCTTGTTGTCCAGGGTAAGTGGATTTTTTCCTTGAGCTACAATATGGTTAAAAGTAAAAATATGTCTTAAGCTATTCTCTGAAATCCCAGATGCTAGATCTGTAGATTCCTATTATAGGCTGTGAATGAAACCAATTCAATTACTCTCTGAAAAGTTGAATGGCATGTGATTACCAATTCTATCTGCTGATGTACAGGGTAATCTGCTGCATTAAAAAACAAGATAATCAATACCTTGAAATTTTTTGTTTCTTAGTTCATTTGCTGGTATATAGAGCAATTTTTGCTTCTGGGTAATGGGTAATGAAGCCCTTGCACTTCTCCTTTCATTAATTACTACTTTTGGGTCAATGATGTTCTGGGCAAACTCTTAACACAACAGCTACTTTGTAAACATATGTTCCTTGCACGTACATATTAACTACAGTCCAGTATAAACCTGAGCTAGAGAGGTTCAATTTGCACCTTCAAACACTACAAAATTTGCATCCCAATCCAAATCATGATAAGCCTAAAAACTGGCTTCTCAACAAACTTAACATCATACTTTCAAATTTCAATTCATTGCTTGCCTTCTATTCATCTAAGTGAGGCCATCCCACTTGAATATCTTTATGGTGGGAGTTTGTTTAGGAGAAAGACTTGTCTTGAACAACCTGTTAGCAAAGACTTGTCTTTATTACACTTGTGGCTGTAATCGGGTCGGATTCAATTCAGATCCAACCACATCCAAATCTGATCCAACTATTGGTACTTCAAATCCAAATCTGACCCGAAATTTAATTGAATGGTGGGGGTGGGCCGGTGGGATCTCAGTTCGGATTCGGATTTGATCCGAGTCTACCTCATTGTTTTTAAAATAAAGAAAATAAAAAATAATTATTTTTATCTTATATTGATTTACTATTTATAACTTTTGTATATCAACCGGTGACCCTTTGTGACGGGGAGAATTCACCATATGGGTGATTTTGATAATTTCACAAAGCAAATCAACCAGTTGAACCATCAAATCTGCTATTAGATTGCTGTTCATTTTTTTTCTTGGTTAAATAACAGAAAAAAATATCATAATTTTTATTACTGATGTGGCATTTTTCTGTGTTTTCCACATTTGGCAGAGCTCCATCTTTTGGTGTTTCAAGAAATGCTCTTGGATATGAATTCAAAGTGACTGTTCTCTCTACTGATTTCCGAGGAGTTGGGCACTCCAAAGTGACTGGCATGCATTTGGTTTTTCCTGCAGTTTCGTTTTCTGGAGGATGTTTGTCATCTCTCTACATCTGCTGGTTACCTATGAGTAGGATTCTTTTTTTTTTCTGCAGAATGTTTGATTTGCTGATTAATATTTAGTGCAATGTTATTTCCCTCTCCGTATTATTGTACGGTTTTATAGACATTGTCCTCTATGTTAATTATTTCCCGAAAATGTTGGACAGAAGCAGATTATAGTATATACAGTAATGTGATCATTTTCCTAAATCATTTTGAGTCAATTTTGAACAATAGTATATGCAGTAATGTGATCATTTTTAATTTGATTGCTTAATGCTATTCAATACTCAATTGTATCTAAACTGGTTTCCAATCTGAATATAAATAAATCAAATCAAATCTGATTTTTTAATGCTATTCAATACAGTCATTGGGGTGGGAAAATATCGGGGATTACCTGTCTTCAGATCATTGGTTGCAGGGTGGGTACATGTCGGGGATTCTCCATTTCCAACGGGGCCAGGGATGGGAGTTGAATCTTCACCCCAATACCGAGGTATGGGGCGGGGATGGGGAATGCGTGCCCCACCCCATTCCCGCCCCGTCGCCATCCCTATGCATGCATGTATACATAATACAATTTCAACCAACACCATTTCATTATGGGAGCTACTTTATCGTGGTGTCTTTTGAAACATCGAACCAAGGTTGTTTTCGAGAATGCTACTGCCTACTGGTGATCCCTCACAAGTCATTCAGCATGCTAGTGTTTTGGTGTCAGCTACCCCAGTGATTTGGATAGAAGAGACGAGGATATTTGGGGGCTGAAGAAGAGAAGAAACTAGGCAGGAAAGGGAGTGAGGTAGACGAAGAAACATGGGCCGTCACGACCCACATCCATAGGCCAAGCTGGGATAGGGGTTTGAGGCCCATGCGCTGACACTATATATGTAATATGTATATAATTTCACCTAGGTCCATGCAAGAAACTGCAGATCTGCTACTCACAAATTGTTCCCACATAGGTATCCACACAATACCATCAGTGTATTGGGATTTGGAAACATCTCCCCATGAATAACAACGGAAATATTCCCAATGTGGGTAGGGATGTTGGAACAGTTTGTGGGTAGTAGATCCAAGCCCCATGCAAATCTAAACCTTATTTGCCTCTCTAAACCTCCCACCCCATACCTTCTCTAAAACTCATAGCAGGTTGGATTATGAGAATCCACAACGCAGATTTCCTGCTCACTCTCTACCCACCTTGAATTGCAGCCACGCATCTCTCAATTCATAATAGAGATGTGTGGTTGTAATTTACGGCGGGTAGAGATGTGGATAAGAAAAGTGAGTAGGAAATCCTGTTTGGAGAATCCAAACCCTCTTTGCACATGAAAATGCAAAACCCTAGCCACATTAAGGGAAAAGTGGGTTGGATTTAAAATAACATCTACTTTCCTATTGTTTCTTGTTATATATAAGTGATAAATAAGTAAAATAATATGAATTAACAACAAAGTTTCCAATTATTTGATAAAATAGGTAGAAAACGCATAAACTATCAATTGTGTATTACACGAAATTCAAAATATTATTAAATTCAACACTTAACACATAATATGCTTTCCATGGTAGACTTAGCCTAATACCAAACCCTACCCACACCCGAACGGATTGTAGAATCCCAAAACCCCTCCCCACCCCAAAATCCATCCTTCAAGAAAAAAAAAAAACCACCATGTTGGTCTAGGTACACACATAGAAATTATCATCCTTACATGCAAGGTCCCCCTCCTCAATAAATTGTTTGATGCCAACACAACCAATACACCTAGTATGGCAAAAAATATATATTTATATATTACATATTTTTAATATATATTGTATTTATAATTATCTATTTATAATATACTATATAGTTATAGTATTTTACATTATATACTTATATATTTATAATATATAAAAAATTAAAAAAACCAAACCGGTCAACTAATTAATTGATTACTTCAGTTTGAGATTTTATAAAAACTAGACTAACCTAACCGTAAGCACCTCAGATTATTTTTGGGAATCCGGATTGGCTGATCACAATACATTGGGTTGTCATATTAATTCAACCACACATCAGGAATATCAGCGATATAAAGTGCTAAAAGATGTTCCAAATGTGCAGCTAGATGATGTAACCAACAATGTATTGTGGTTAGCAGCAGCAATGGTATAATGATAGGTTAAAAAAAGGGTAAATTTCTTAAATTACCCTTATGATTTAGTTAATTTACCCTCCACTATTTTTTCGATTTTTAAAATAAAATCAAACTGATAGAATTTTTGAACTATAATCTCTTTTCCCTTTGGTCCTCTATGTACAAGCTGGGCATCCCCTATCGTTTTGTAATTGAGAACTCCGTGGCAATGGAATCTGGTGGTGGAGCGAAAGGAAGAGGTTTTGAGAAGTTCATGGGTGTGATTAAAATCGGTAGAGGAAGTGCGATACAGATAGAGAGGGGTGTGCGATTGACGTGAGCCAGGAGGTGGCCATGGAATCTGGTGGTGGAGCGAAAGGAAGGGATTTTGAGAAGATGGCGGGTGTGATTGAAATCGGTAAAGGAAGTGCAATACAGACAGAGAGGGGGTGTTGATTGGTGGCCACACTCGTGGAGTTGGCGGATGCTGCTATGAGTGTGGCCACCATATCTGAGCTCTAGCTTTGAACCAAACTGGTTCTTTGAAGTCCACTCTAACCCACTTTTCAAGAACTTCAGGGGTGATGAACCTGAGCGCGCCCAACATAGACCATCGGCTGTGGATCACCTGACATATTTCAAGGTTATTCTGATGAAGCTGTCATATTAATTTCAAATAACCAGAAAATATAAGCAGGAATTTTAACAATTCAGTTTTGTCATAAAACACAGTCAGCTCTCTCTCTCTCTCTCTCCCTCTCTCCAACTCAATTTAATTAAGCGACCACCAGGCACTAGTAAGTGGAAGTGATGGATTACCTCAAGAGCCCCCTGTTCCTGGCGAAGGCCTTTGGGTCAGCCGATAAACCGGCAGTGTCCCAGCCATAGTCTTCGGGGAAATTCTCTGGTGAGGTACAAGGTGTTTGAGCAGAGAAGGGCCCCAATTCCCAAGTACTTAACACGCTGCGTGCCATACCATAATTCATTCCCTTGTTCAAACAAATCCAAAGTAAAGAGAAAAAATTCCGCTTACTCCAATAAATCAAAAAGGAACAAAAGGAAGATATACAGAAGAGATGGAAGGCCATTAATAAAACTTGAGAGCTTAGGTTTGGTAGCGCTCCGCTAGAATATTTCTGATATTCCCGAGTTCTCTGCAAAACCAAAAACGTTCCATTTGAATGTTACCTAACGCGGTCTTACACTCTTACCATGGTGAACATGCCAGTTCCCATAGAAACAACATTCCTAACTGGGTTAGCGTTGGTCTAAGGACAGTGGTGGATGCTGCCATGAGTGTGGCCAACATCCCTCGTCACTGGAACCGGCAGTATCTGTTGTTAGACTGTATTTGACAATTGACATTATCAGTAAGTGCTAACTGAAAAAATGAAGTGTCAAATTAGTCTTCCTTTATTCCTCAAAATTTCAAAATAAAATCCAAATGATGAAAATTTTCAGAAATCCTTCTTTTTTATTTAATTTTCTTATTAACATAATATTTATTCATTTTTACTACCTCTAACCACTAAACAATAAATGGATTTCACTTGCCAACAAGCTGATAACACTATTTCGATGTAACTCAAATAAAATTGAAAACAAGCATACAAATTTAGATTCAAACAATTCACCTGAAACCAAACTAAAAAGCCAGATCTCTAAAACAGAAGTAAACTAAAATGAGATTAAACAAACGGCAGCACTACCAACAATGTCCATCAGAACATAAGATTGATTTTAAAGAAAAAATAAAGACATAATTATCGGTGGTATCCATCTAAGCGTGAAATAGGTTTTGGGAAGAAAACTAATGACAGTATTATCAACAACACTCATCAGACTATGAAATTGGTTTTGGGAAGCAAAAACAAAGTTAGCAACTGTCCAATCTTTTGAGACTAACAGATATGAGTTCAAACTACATGCCATTGAAACCTAACAGGAAGCAATAGACGGATTGGGTTGGGGTTAAAAGCCTACAATGTTCAGTTCGACAGAACTACACCCGTCAACTTCCTTCCCCAACCTCAGATTCCAATCATAGCAATGGTGGGGAGAAGCTAAGCTAAGAAAAACAAAGGAAAGGAAATAAAATGAAACTAGGCAACAACGGAACTTACTTGAGTTACATTCTAACCAACTGTGTGATGTTGTAATAGGGAGGTTCTAGCGCGTTCAATTCTGCTCAGCTGACGACCAAAAGGGATAAAATAAATGGCTGGTACTTGGTTGGGATGCTGGAAATGGCATGGATGAGGAAGGGGAGAGGGATGATGAAAATGTAGGAGGAAGATGCAGAAAAGAAAATGGCTGGCCAATTGAGTTTAAATGCAACTTAGTCTGGTGTGGTTGGGAATGATGTAGAGAGGTAGAGAGAGTAATGTAGAGTGATGAGTAACAAAATGAGAGAGAATGATCTGCCGAAGTAGATACCGGTGATGCTGCTGCTCCTCCCCGGTTGTCGCTACTACTGTGTGTTAAGAGCGCCACTGCACTGATGTGTTCAAATCCACCACTACAAGTGGTGGCGATTGAAACAGGGGAAGGGAGAGAGAGAGAGAATGAAGGGGTAAAGAAAAATTGAACAATGGAAGAATGGGGGAGAGAAAGAGATGGGAGAATAGAGAGAGGAAGCGGCAATTTCATAGGGGAAGATAAAAATAGTCAAAGAAAAAAAAAAAAGAAGATAAAAAAAAAGGAAGAGATAGAAAGAGGAGAATCGTCTTTCCTAAGGCTCAGCTTGGAAGGAGTATAAATACAAATATGTAGAGCGCAAATCCATGTATTTTGTATTATTCTGTACATATTTGTATTTGTACTTCTTCCAAATTAAGACTAAACCAAAAGAGATAATTTTTGAAAAATATGATGGTGTTTGGAAGCAGCGTTTTTTGGGACCAACTTCCAAGACCCATTTTTTACACAAAAAAAAAACACTTTGATTTTGTTTGAAAGTGTTTCTGTCATGTAGACAGTGAACAACACTATGCTATTTCGTAAGGTGATTTTCATCACCGTTTTTCATGTATGTGCTGACAGGTAAACCTGTTCATGGGTCGCGTGGCCTGACAGACCGGCCTGGCCCCCGGACGAGCTTGAACATGTTTATAGGCCCGCGGGCTTAAACTCGGACCAAAAAGCCCAGCCCGCAATAAATTCGAGCCGGGCTCAAGTTTTGTCAAAATAGCCCGGCCCGACCCGACCTAAAATTAGACTTAAAATGGGTTATGTGATTATGTCCATTTGAATAAAATTTTTGATTTAAGAATGTAAAACTGTGTTTTAAAACGTAAAAGAAAGGGAAAAAAACCATCTTATAGGCCCATCGTTCATTTAAATAGGAAAAAAAAAACATCTGGATTTTTAATTCTAATTTGAATAGAGAAAATTGTAATTTTTTTATTAGGTCGAGCTTCGGGCTTTTTATTAGGGTCGGGCTCAGGCCCAAATTATAGGCATGTTGGTCGGGTTGGGCTTGGGCTCGGGCCTAGCATATTTCCATTAATGATGAGTAAAAGCCCGGCCCGTCCCAACATAGTACCGTTTTTCAGAAAAACAGCCATGGTTCCAAACATCCCCAATAATAGTCACGTTATGTCACATGCAAACAGTTTATGACAACATTACCGATTTCTGATTCCTACTGCACAACTATAAACATTCAAAACATAAAAAAATACACCCTATATGAACCCATACCCACCCATTCAAAACGTTATGTCACCCTATGTACCCCATACACTGGGGTTATCGGTTATTCTACATTGAGTCTAATAGTACATTTCGGTTTCCATAAATGAAACACTAAAGATAACTTAAGAAATTTACCCTTTAAAAAAGGGGTTTTGAGGTAGAGTGCAGTCTAAAAATCCCTATCAGGGTGAAAGAGCAAGTGGAACGAAGTCCCGATATACTTAAGCCCGCCTACGTCCAAATTTCCAATATACAGGCCAGGGAGCGAAAGCGACACGCCAAGTGCCAATGCCTTCGAGTTGCGGGTCAGAGAAGCTCTGAAACGACCCCTCTCTCCCGACTCTGCTCTCCTCTTCAACTTCATCACTACTGAGAGTTACTTCAACGCCATCTCCCCGTCATCATCAAAGTCACTAGCCCTGACTCTGACATCTTCAAGCGGAACATCGCAGAATCGTTTCGGAGCTTTTCTTTTCTCTGTATGCAGATTTATGTGGGCTGAAAGATTGAAAAGAAGGCCATGTGTTCGTTCTCGTCGCGGAAGGCTAGGGTTTGATTTGCTGTTTCAGATTAAAGTTCGCAGTTCGGAGGTTTTCGACATTTTATCAGCTTTTAATACTATTTTACTTTGATTTATTGGGAGTTCTTTTATCTTGTTCCGGGGATCTCTGTTTATTTGTCGACTCTTCTGATTGTTTTTAAGTGCTGGGGAAGGAAATGGCAATTTGTTCTTCGAGCTTCGGGTTATCACTTTTGGCCAACTTGCCCAATGAGATTGATTCGATTAAGCAATGCAATAGAAACTCGTTAGTTAATGTTAAGGCGTTGGGTTCCCTGAGGAGTGGTGAACTAAAGAGTCTTGTAAAGGTGGCAACTTTGACTTTTTTGACTAGCGGCAGAAGCAACATACATATCTCGAGGGATAAGAAGAGGTTCGAAGTCCGGTGCATGTCGCAGCCGCAGGCTGAACCAGAGTTTAATGATCCAGTAGGTACGGTTTTGCAAGCGAGTGCGGAAATTACTTTAGCAAAGGATTCTAGGGTTTTGCCAAGTAGCTTTGTGACAGATGTTGACAATGGAGATGACAGTGGGTATTCTCTAGGTAGTAGTGATGGCAATGGAAAGTTCACATTTGGAGGAGGAGGTGGTGGCGGCGGAGGTGGAGGCGGAGGCGACGGTGATGGTGATCATGAGGAGAATGACAAAGAAGAAGAGGAGTTCGGTCCGGTATTGGAGTTTGAGGAAGTAATGAAAGAAACAGAAGCTCGAGGGGCTAGTCTTCCTTCAGACATGTTAGAGGCTGCGAAGACTGTTGGAATTCGCAAAGTTCTTCTTCTTAGATACTTGGATTTGCAGGTAGTTCTTTATTACTTGACAACAAAATGGTAATCCACTATGATAGCCTTTTTGCATAACTTATCCTTTTTTGTAAGTTGAACTTGTTGATTTTCTTATTATAGGGAGCAATTTGGCCTTTAGGCTTTGCAATCAGGTCCTGCTCGTTGCTGCGTAACCGAATGCTTGCTGATCCTTCTTTCCTTTTCAAAGTTGGAATAGAGGTTTGTTGAGCTTTTCTGGACTGAATTCTTTTAGAAAAGTTATCTTTCAATTTTTAGAAGCTAAATTATACAAAAAATGGTGGTCCGGACTGTTGTCAGGGTTCGTGCTGCCATAGTCCAAATCGTGCATGTAGAAACCTGTTACACTGGCAATAGCCTATTCCTTAAATCGATCATGGTCTGATCATCAACTCAAGGCTGATACGCAATTATTAATTTGATTAAGTGAGAATAACTCGCTGTTGCCTCATTTGTCAAAATCCATCAATCAGGCAAGTGGGATTGCCTGGTTGATAACCCATGATATGTGAAACATGTTATCTACTTTCATGATGCCACCAAACTCTTCTCTTGCTTGGAACTACAGTTTACTCTACCATATAAAATGTCTCATATTGATTCGGCATGATACAGATAGTCATTGATTCTTGTTGTGCAACATTTGCGGAAGTCCAAAAGAGGGGCAAGGATTTTTGGACAGAATTTGAGTTGTATGTGGCTGATCTTTTGGTTGGCTTGGTTGTTAACATTGCATTAGTTGGCATGTTAGCACCATATGCTCGAATTGGACAGCCATCAATGTCAAAGGGGCTCCTTGGACGCATACAACATGCTTATGGAGCTTTGCCTAGTAGGTTTGTTTTCATGCCAAAAGGATTCAATTTAATTGTATTCCTAGTAAGAAAAACATGCAAATGGAATGGGGGAAAAAAAAAGAAATGAAACTTGATGTGTAATTTCAGCTGTAACTGTTAATGTAGAGAGATGACAGTACTTGAACGTAGCCACATTCTCCTTCCAGTTTACATCTTTAGAGGATTGTGAAAAAGTTTTTTCATTACTTAAAGTGTTGCTGTACATGCAGTGTGTTTGAAGCTGGGAGGCCAGGATGTAGTTTTTCAGTTCAGCAACGGATTGCAACATATTTTTATAAGGTTAGACGTTTTCCTTATGTTTGTTGAAATAATAATGAAACCATAATTGTCATGCTTAAATCTGACTTGTTTCCATTCATTTTCTAGCATCATTAAGTTCTAACTTGTTTCTTATAATTTATGGCTATAATCAAAGAAATTGCCATATGCATGTTTGATACTTGTATTAGCTATTTACATATGTATATATGTGTGTGGATGTTTACTTTTGTCTTACATATCTGTGTCCAGGGATTGGTGTATGGAACTGTTGGATTTGCATGTGGTCTTATTGGCCAAGGGATTGCAAATTTGATTATGACTGCCAAACGGTATGCTTCTCTTCTTTGCTTCATGAAATATTTTGGCAGAATTGTGCTGTTTATCTCATTTAATTTTCACAATGTGATATATTTGAGGTTCAATCAGCTTTTTGTTGCTTTCTAAATTGCACATGTTTTTTGCTTGTTTGGTTTGTACCAGTGATTTAAAAGGCGTGCCTCAGGTGCGCCTAGGCGAAGCACATTTCAGGGTATGCGCCTCGCCAGGTCCTAGGTGCGGCCCTTTCAAAAGGCGCACGCCTGGTGCGCCTAGAAGTGCGCCTGGTGCGCCTCAGCCCAGGCGTGTGCCTCGAGGGGCGTGGCACAAAGCCGGCTCATAGAATCAGGAATGTAATATGTTTTACATTACATTAGCTATGTGAAGTACTGTAATTGAGTGAAAAAAGAAATTAGAGGTTTTACATGCTTGAAAATGTTTTATGTTTGATTTTATTTTTAAATTCTCATTTGAATATGCTTTACATCTTATGTTTATGTATTTTAATTTTAGATAATAGGTTTTTTAAAACATTATTTTAAAATTTTAACTTTTTTTTTGAATTTTCTGATTTTTTTTTATTTTTTAGCATTTTTTTTTGCGCCTTGCATAAAAAAGGCGCGCACCTCGCCTTGTGCCTTGTGCCTTGCACCTCAGGCGCAAATTGACCCCTGCGCCTTTTTTGCGCCTTGCGCTTTTAAAACACTAGTTTGTACTAATAAAGGTGTCAAATTGATAGATAAATATAATAGCCTACAACTTGGTTTAAATTTAATAGACAGGTTGCAGATCTGTAATCTAATTGGTCGTTCCTAGCAATCAAATGGGGATCAGCTACATGAATCCTGTTCCGCCATTCCATTCTGTTTGGTGCCAAAAAAAAGTTAGTTGGTTTCCAGCAAATGTATCAATTATCATGGTATTTATTTTTATTCATCCAATAAATTCTCATGACGATGCATCAACAGTAGTTGTAAATTTAAATTTTCTATCATGATATTATAAATAAAAGGGTTATTAACTAAAACACCCCTTCAGTTGACTACTGTTTTAGGGCCCCAGGCCAGGGTTGGAACGTAGCCAAGACAATTTATGTTTTTCACTTATTAATTTCTGACAAGCCATGGGCCTCTTGTACTTTCACTATATAATCTACCTTTTAAGTTAAACAATATGCAAACCACTGTTTGTGCCTAAAGTCTTAAAAACTGCAGAAACTTAATATCATTTTCACAAGAGATGACCAAATATTGGAGTGGATTTGGATTTGCCCTTAAAGAAAATGTTCAAATTGTAAGAAGATGAGGGGGAAGATAGCAACACCATTTCCTTATTCTCAGGACCGGTGGGAGTGAGGGACTCTACAAGGGCAGAATACTAGCTGCTGCTGTACAAGGGATCCAGATTGCCAACCAGCTTGGGGTGGAACATCTCCTAGTTGAAGGGGATTCTCAGGTGGTAACAAGGTGGCTTCTAAACCCGGATGCTGCCATTTAGGGCTACAAAGACCTCATCAAAAAAGTAAAGTGGTTAACCAGTAATATGAGAGGAGGTTAAATGGGTAAGCAAGTAGGCTAATACTATGGCTGATTCTTTGGCCAAACATGGGGTTTCCGGGGAAGGTCTTTTTTGTGCTACATTGTAACTCGTTGTAGTAATTTGGAAAGCTGTACTTAATTAGCTTGGAGAGGTTGCATCTTGTGCCTCTCCTTGGGGACCTTGTACTATTTATCTTTGCCGATTAATAAATTTCATCCAATTATCAAAAAAAAAAAAAAGATGAGGGGGAAGATAGAGGAAAAGGTACCCTGCCTCAATGTGACCTTTATCACCTTGGTTCAAAGATTCATAAGAAAGGAGAGATTGAGGAGGATATCACCAATAGAATTAGGGCTGTCAACGGTTCAGATCTGATTTGGGACAGGATGAAACTGTTCCGAACCAACAAGAAATTAGGTTGTCCAGGTCCTGAACCTGACCCTATCAGAACAATAGTTTGGGACCCAGAACCGGACCAATTATTAATCGGGCTAATCGGGTCTGACCCGATAAGAACCGATTACAATTCAGAGGGTTTTCCTTCAAAGATTAAGAGGTAAAGCTGCAAGTCTGCAATTGAATCTACCCTAATGGCTGCTGGAATCAAATTGAATGTAAAAAATACTTGGCAGAGTTGTAAATAGAGGGAGTTTAGGCAAAGAGGCAACGATAACCCTCTATGATTGGGCCGTCAAGCATCCCCATGTACCAAAAGAAACGAAAAATAAAAATAGAATCACATAGAGGAAGAAAACACATCTCAAAGTGCTACCTGCCGCTGCAACATGTTTCTGCCATTCAATAAGAAAAAACAACCAATATAAACAAAATACAGTGGGGATTCAAGAAGAAAAAAAAACATAGCTCAGATCAAATGGTCATTTCCTGCTGCGGTTCAAGAAGAAAAATCACCGATAAATGGTTACTTGCCACTGCTGTTCTTGCATTCTCTGCTATAGATGCCGTCACTACACTTCCCAACAAGCAGATCTGGTCTTGTGCCTACCAACCTACAACTGCAACGTCTCAAAGTTTTGTGAGTGGTGTTTGGTTTCGGTGTAGGTGTCTCCATTATGGGCGGCAGATGAGATGAGAATAGTTTAGGGTTTAGAATTAGTAGTCAATAATAGGAAGAGTGAAAAAGAACCAGAACCGATAATAATTGGGATGCACAATAAAGAACCAGAACCGACCCAACGGGATAGAACTATGAACCAGAACCAACATAATTCTTTTGGTTGGTTCGTTCTATCGGGTAGGCCCGACCCATTGACAGCCCTAAATAGAATTAGAGCAGGATGAGTGAAAGTGAGTAATGAATCTGAAGTCTTATATGATGGGAGAACATTTGAGTAGCAGAGTAAATAAACAAAATTTCCAAAATATGAGTATGGCAGAGATGTGAATGCTGAGATGGATGAGTGGGAAAACTAGAAAAGATAGGGTAAAAAATGAACATACTCTAGAAGTATAGGAGTGATCCTGTTAGGTGATTAAACTGGGGAAAGTAGACTAAGATGGTTTGGTCAAGTGCAGTTAGACCATCTACAACACCAATAAGAAATGACCTGTTATAAGTTGAGTTGAAGGATCTAGAAGAGTAGGGGCAAGCCTAAAAGGACATGAATCAATTACTGATAAAAAAGGACATGAATCAAAGTAGTGAGTCATCAATTGAGGGCCCAAAATTTAACATTGGATATGGCACTACATAGAGCAGAATGGTGAAACAGGATTCATTTAGCTGGCCTCATATAGCTAGGGCAAGGCTTTGTTGAGTTGCATTAAGTTTCTTTAGCCCTTCAGAAGGCTTTGTTGAGTTGCATTGATTTAGTTTTGCAATTAATAGAATGTCATATTTAAGTACATCCATCTGTGCTCTTAAGGGTTGATCTCACTATCTCTAAGGTAGGATTGATCTCACTATCTTTAAAGTAAGATTACTTTATTTGATACCAAATGATATAGGATTGAATTGAATGTGTTAACACCATTTGATTTATGATTGGAATGATGCATAGATGAATCTAGGAGGGTAATGATGGGTTTATGGACAACGTAGGACTACAGAGACGGGTGTGGGGTTAGAAAGGGTTTTGGGTCAAATTGCTGAGAATGTGAAAAATAGAAGATTCAAAAAATTAATCATAGGAGGGAATTATTTTTAGTGAAAACTTGTAAAGATATTTAGAATGATAGATTGTACAGGGAAATTTAATTTTAAAACACTTTGAGCATATTTTACACAGAAGGATGCTTGTGAGAGAAATTATCAAAATCTCAGAAGATAGGGTTTTAGATGGCATTTTGAGATGGAATTTAGTAATATGAAATATAATGAAGATCCATAGGGGTGTCCATATGAAGCAATCAAAGACGATTTGGGCAAAAGGGTAAAAATGGCCAAAACGGGAATTTTTTCTTTGGTTCTTTTTATTTTAACTAAAGAATAATGTTGAATGAACTCCTTTGATGAAGGATTTGTGAGCTGTTGTTGGTTGTGATGGTTGCTCACAGAAGTAGAGAGAAGCAAGAGAAAGAAGAGAAAATCCAAAATCATTCAATGGGGGCCTAGAATCACTCTAGGGCATGGGAATCACTCACTATCTTAACATAAGCTATGATAATTCAAAGTTTCAAACAATTCATTCATTTCTTCTCACACATGCTGACTCCATCAAGAAAAAAAAAAGATGTGAAATGACCAAAAACTTTTTTTTCATGAATGAAATGACCAAAGAACTTGAACTGTCTAAAAATTTAAAAGATGCATAAAGTTCATAAAATTGCATATTCAACCACTTTTCTCTCACATTACATTCTTTCTCTGAATAAGTTCATTTCCAAACCAGAAAATATATCATATGTTTGTGATCATGATGAACTGTCAAACAGGCTTAAATGATTCAAGGATCCACCGGATTTTAAAATAATGATTCAAATTACATACTTCATGCAAGGCCATTACCTAATGTTGGTTCTAGCCATTCAGGGTCTTCGCTTCTTGGGGAGGGGTGGATAGTGGACTGGATACATATCTGACCTTTGGCTTTTATTTATTTATTTATTTGTTTATCTTTGTACGAAGTAGCCACTCCCAGATTTGAACATGCTTGTCATTCCACAATTTAACCATTAAACAAAGCAAATGCCCCCTGATCACCTGCTTTATACACAATTTATATGCTTTCACTAGATGTTAAATACTTAAATTAGATTGGACTTCTGGACCTAATATAGATCCTGATCATTAATTTCTCAGAGACTTTTCTGCCATTTTTTTCCTGCAATTTATTGTTATGATGATGAATGCTGCATTTGGGGCTTAAACTGACACACACACACATACACACACACACACACACACACTTGTTTGCCCTACTCACTGTTCAATGAGACTGTTATTAATTGTTTTCATTTTTATTGTTCAGGAACATAAAGAAATCAGATGAAGATATACCTGTGCCACCTCTTGTGAAAAGTGCTGCTCTTTGGGGTATGCTTAACTTTTTTTTTGCAATATCCTCTTTAGTTCTGGTTTACAAGATCTGAAATTTCCATGCTTACTATCTGATAAATGCTAAAACCATGTTTCCATGCATGAATTGGATTTTCTTGTAAACCATAAAGACTCGGTAAATTGCTGACCAGAAAAGGAAAGAAGCAGAAAGAGAAAACAAAGTGCTTAATCTTTGCTCATCTTTACCCCATACTTCTTCCTATTGGAAACATACTAATTGGGACTCTAATAGAAATGCATTTAAAGCTTTAAAATACAATATAATAAAATAATCAAGACAAAAATGGGCTCCTAGAGCCTCAGGTAGTCAGGTGCAGGGTGTGCAAGGTGAGGTGTATTCCAGAACGAAGTGAGGCACTGATTTTGAAAAAGAAATGAAAAGAAAAACTTATTATACAAGAATATGCAAAACTAGACTGTGAAAGGAATAAAATGTTTTAAAAACCCTATTAGCTCAATTGATTAGAACTTCGTATTATTAAAAGAGTTAATTACTTAGATATGCCCTGTAGTTTCACTGAACTACTTAAGTATAACCTTTAGTATCTGAAACTACTTAAATATACTCTGTTGGGTGACCCCACTTGACACAAATAGTCCCTCCATTAGTGAAACGTTTAGGGCCATCTAAGTTGATATTATTTTTTTTGATAAATATCTAAGTTGATATCATTTGCATAAAAAATTTTATAATAAACCTGGTTTTTCCCTCCTGTGGTTGAAAATACCCTTCAAACACAAACCCCTGCTCATCCCGTTCTTGACTGCTGCAACACCTTGCTACTGCTTTCTTGGTAGGTGGGTGGCCAAGGTGACTTGTTAGCTTCACAACCTCTGAGCTTCAGCGATTCGTTGAAGCAAAACAGTCGAAAAGTCATTTCAAGCCAACAGCTTCTCATAGATATGTTAATCTCCTGCATATCAAAATTGCTTTTTACATGGGAGATGCCTCCAACTGAAGCCTGGGGGATTCAGAAAAAAGATCTAATAAATGTTTGTTTCAGACTGTTAAACATCCAAGGGGAGGTTTCATTCCTCACCCAAGAAAATGGTCTTGTTTTTGAGCCTAGGCTTGTCTGATGTGTCTGTTAAAACATTGACAACACCTGAACTTTAATGGAAATATGGAATAGATGGCAAAATTTTTAACTGTTTTTTTGCCAAGGAACTACTATTAATCATTTGTGAATTATTTGGACATCAAAAAAAAAAGAAACTCAAAATTTTTAACTGTTTGAGGTCTGCCACTCAATTTGTGCCCAAGTCTGAAGCATGAAATCTTAACTTCTATGCTCGATTCTTGTGCAGTTGTAAATTATTTATATATGCATCCATCTAGCTCGAGATTGCACAATTTAAACATTTATTGTGCTGGCATGTCCAATTTAGGAATAGAATGTGATGGGCTTTTCCTTTGGAGTTTTCTTTTTAAATTTTAGAAAAGTTATTTTTTTTTATATTTTACAATATATTATGGTAGGTATTGATTTTAGAAATATTCTTGGAAACACATCTCTGTATGTACAGGGGTAAGGCTGTGTATGTCTGTCCCTCCCTTGACCTCGCATTGGCAGGAGCCTTATGCACTGGGCCGCCCTTTATTGATTTTAGAAAGTCTTTTTATGCAAAACTTGGCATAAAAGACAATATTTTGGGCTTGAGCTCACCTTGAATTGCCTAGTGTGGTTACTGCGTGATGTATATGCATATGCATTCATATGTGCATTCGTGTGTATGTTTTAACATGTTTCAAGCGATATGATATATATATATATATATATTAATTTAGAGCTTTGAAATGGTTTGCAAAAATGTGATATTTTTTTCTGAAACTCAAACTCTAATAATCTTCAATAACCCTAATGCTTAAATATCATGCCTCGGGACTTATGCCTCACATATCTCAAGTTTCTGGTGCCTTGCTTTATGTCTCTAAATATAAATATTGATTTGTAGTTTAATAAATGAGCTTGATACTTGAATAAAGCTTAGATTGTGTTTGGAAACGATGCAAATGGAGTGTAAATCCTGGTTCAGGGTAAATTTGCATTCTGGTTCGCTTTTGCCTGTGTTTGGCAACATTACATTTATGCATTGATAAATGATAGACCAATGCATATTTACATTGATAATAAGATGTAAAAGTACATCAATAAAAAAGAAGTAAACTTGCATTCAAGTGGGCTTTTGATAAAAAAGCATATGCTTTGTTGGAATTCATGTTTGCACTCATTACAGCTAAAAGTCTGTTTGGTAAGAAGGTAAATTTGTTAATGCAAAATTAATTCAATTTTGCAATTTATATGAACCGTTTTACACTTTACATATTTGCATTCACATTTATTTGCATCGTTTTCAAACGCAGCCTTAGTATTGTTTGCTTAAAAGTTTGCAAACGCAGCCTTAGTATTGTTTTCAAACGCAGCCTTAGTATTGTTTTCAAACGCAGCCTTAGTATTTACATATTTGCATTCACACTTATTTCCTGTTTTACCAATCCATTCTATTTAAAGTCATATTCACTATTAAATTATTAGTGCTTAAATTATTTCTTAACCCATTATCTGCGCTTGGGACCAGCGGTGTTACACAAGCTCACACTGGTGGAGTTGGGCTTCTGTCTATTTGTTTTCTAGAATTTAGCGGGCGAAAATATACTCACTGATGACATGCACCAAGTAATCTTTTGCATTTGCTTAAGGTGCACCTAATGCCCTCATTGATGAATGCATCTCTTGATTAGTTCACGAAATGGATTATTCCGTTGCCTGGACTTTGTAGGGGGTGTTCAGCAATGTATTTGTTTTTTCTGTTGACATGACAGTTGTTTGTGTTATAGAATAAAACCATGCATATTGGCAAACCCCCACTAGGTTGCTCAACTTTCTTCCTTATTTTATATCTAATGGATGTATTTGAGAAGTTTTGCCTGATGTCCATGTATTTTGTTGGACTAATCGGTCCCTCTCCAACAACCAGGTGTTTTCCTTGGAGTTTCTTCAAATACTCGTTACCAGATTATAAATGGTTTGGAACGCATGGTGGAAGCATCTCCTTTGGCAAAGCGGGTCCCACCTGTTGCAATGGCTTTCACAGTTGGCGTTCGATTTGCCAACAATATTTATGGTGGTATGCAGTTTGTGGACTGGGCCAGGTGGAGCGGGGTGCAATAATAAGTTTAGGTAATTTCTACCTAATGGCATGGCAATGGCAGGTTATGCCAGTGGTAAGAATGGATTTGGAAAATAAAAAGAATACCTAGAATATTTTCATGCAGGCGATTTCTTTCTTACATTAGGCCCAGGATGGAGAGGAGTAGAGGACCCCCCCTTCATAAAAAGTTGCGGTACTTTGTGGTTAATGGTTCCTGATATAATCCTTTCTGGATTTTAATTCCTTATTATTGTTTAGTTAATTTGAATCTACCAATATATGAAATACCTTTTCTTTTCTTTCTTTGCATTCGATGATTGAATGTTCTCAATTTAATTTGTTGCAAGTAGTGGAAGGGTTGCATGCTATTTCTCTGAGAAATCATACATTCTTTTCTCCTCATTTTCTTTGTTTTTCAGCTCTGCTATGGTTTTGTCCTAATTAATTGATATAGGGAGTGATTTTGGAACTTCCCATACCCCTGATCAACCTGGCATAGTTAGCGGTGGCAATTGGGTGGATTGGGTTTGGTTTGGTTTGGGTTGAGCTTCAACCCAATTCATCTAATCCGTCAATCCATTAATGACTCGGTTATATAAAATTAAATGGATTATGTTCAACCCAAACATGTTTTGACCCAATCCAACCTGTCCAAACCTATTAAACTTGTATTTATGCACTTGAAACAAAAAACTTACTCCCACTTGACAAATAAGTTGGTCATAGCTTGATGGTAATAGTAGTTGTTATTTACACTAGTGGTGAAGGTTCAAATCACATTATATGCATACCATTTTTTATACAAGCGGCAAAACCATTTGACTATGTTCTGGTTTCGTGTTTGACTGAATCACTTAGGTTCAAACTGATTAGACCAACTTGAACTATTTAATTGGATTGTCTTCAAGGTAATCACATCAAAAGTGGTTGAACCGTTTGGATTTGGACTAGTCCAATTGGATCAAATCGGATTGGTTCAGCCAACGGTAGATTGACTTAGACCAGCTTATATCAGGTTTGTGCATGGGTTTGGGACTGAACCGACTGACCCGAAGTGGGTCAATGGAAGTAAATTGGACCTGTTTGGATTTGGGTTGACTTGTACATATACGAATCGGATCGGACAATCCAATCTGGGTCAAGGCAAATGGGGCAGGTTTTGGGTTAGGTTGGACCAAGGTCTAGATTGGCCTGCACTAGTTAGACTGAGTTGAGTTGATTGATCCAAACTAACCGATCCGAGGTGATCGGGTCTATTCATAGTTAGACCAAGTTGAGTTGGTTTGGACTCGGGTCAAGTTGATTTGGATTTATGTCGATTTGGGTGAAGTGTGTTGATTCGAGACAGTTAATTTTAATAAATAATTAATAAAAAATCATGTATTATTTATAAATTATTTCATTCAAATGAAGAAAATTAAAAAAAAAAGTTAGAGAATTAATACTTATATCTTTAGTGGTTAAACCAATGGTTATCCACAATCCAATCTAACTCAACCCATTTAAATTGATCCAATGGGTGATTTATCCATTTTCAACCTACCAAGTAATTGGGCGAATTGGGTGGATTAAATACTGGGTGAGTTTAGCGGGTTGGGTGAAAAATTGACACCCCCTAAAATACATATTTGAATAGTCAACCAATTACATGTTTTGAGTAAAAATTCTCTTTACTGTTTACATTAAGGGGTGCCGCCCATCAGTCCCCGGATTGCTACTACGACAGCAGCCAATTTTATTTTTGTATAAGCACATTTGCTTCTGATTTATGGGCAAGCTTTTTAATTTTTGGTAAGTGTGATTCATCCACATGTTGCAATTGCACATGAAGTCGATTTTGCCACACTTACGATAGTGAAAGAAAATACTATGGACAAGTTTTCAGGCTTAGGGTCCATTTGGCCACACCCTGCGATTCCCACTCCGGCTCTTTATTTTTATTTTTGACAACAGAAAAAAAAAAAAAAAACCATTTTGACCCAAAGCCCTAGCTGACCCCAAGTCTTCGTTATCTCATAGGCCTTTATCTCAGTCAGTTATCGATGTCCACCACCTTCGGCGAGGAAAAACCGGTTGTCTGCTGGTTCTTCCCCTCTATCTCCTCTCTTCATTTTACCCTTCTCTCTTCTTTTGCCGCATTTTTCCTGTCCCTCTTCCTCTCCAATGTTGCTGTGGCTGTTATTGCCTTGTTGGTAATATTTACTGTTGGTGGTTGGTATTAGCAGATCCTCTTCTTCTTCCCCTTCTTTTACCCCCTCTTTGAAATCTTGCTTGGTCGAATAGAGTAGGGAATTTGCCCTTTTTCTTCTGTGAATAGGGGCAAAATTAGAAATTTTAGCTAATTTTAATTCTGATTTCTAGTTAAACTAAATATCAACAATTGAAATCTGATTTTAATTCATGTCTGAACCAAACAGGCATCGGGAATAAGTGTTTACGGTTCTGATTTTAATTGTGATTCTAATCCTGATCATGAACCTAACGGACCCTTATGTTACGAGGTACCACCTTTCCAAACGGCTACCCACTAAAGTTGTTGCAAGTTGCAATTCATGTAGGGTTGTAACATCGTTTACGTGCTCAGTGCTCTATAGGTTGAAATGCGTTATTTTTGCAGAGCAACTTACAATGGCATAATTTAAAGAATATCCTGAATTGCATTTTCAGAAACAACATAAATACACAAACGAAAATACATTTGGATTTCTTGGTTTAAAAAAAAAAAAAGACTCAGACCAAGGTTATAAATATCAATACAAGTCAATATGCCTGTGCTTTTTTTATGTTATATTTATTTTTTTTTAATCGATTCAGAGGGATCGGTTTAAATTTCGACTACTCTCTGAACCATGGACTAACCCGATACATCTCTTCTAGGACATATTGAAAAGGCTCCAATACGATATATATCGGTTGATACAGGCCAATACGTAACAATATTTTAAACTTTGGCCAGGACATCTCTAAGAAGGGGTATTAATTTTCAAAAGTGGACATGGTGGATTCAAAATGCGTATGATATTCATCGATTTGTTGTAGAAGTTGAAACTTTGAACCCAGATGATACAGAGAAATATGTCATAACTCGTAATAGTAAAGCTTTTAAAATATAACACTTTTTAATTTAAAATAAATTTTTATTTTTACGTATACATATATTAAATATATTGTAGGGAAAGCTTAAAACATTAACATATTATTCGTATAATGACTGATACTCCCCTGTTAATGTCATCAATGGGAAAGCAATGCGTAATTTGTACTTTAAACCTTGATATATAGTAGCTATATTTACATATAAAATATTCTAAGGTTATCGGAGATGCAAATGGATCAGATTGTATTTGAATCAGGATATATTTGAATCCATTGATTTCATAAATGGTGATTTGAATTTGAATCTGTTAAGGACCGGATATCAGAATATGGTCCTATTTGATTSGAATTATGAAAAAATTAATAAATTATTAAAAAACATAAAATCTAAAAAAATAAAAAATATAAGTATTTTTTCAATTATTAAATATATATATACATATATTTTTTATAAAAAATACAAAAATACAATATAAATATATTTATAAATAAACATATGTATATATGCCTTTTTATAAAAAAAAATATATATATATATATATATATATATATATATATATACACATATATATTGCTCGGGTCAGGTCGAATTGGATAGGGGTGATCCGAATCCGATCCACTTTTCAATCAATTCCGATTATTCGATCCGAACCGAAAATCTGACTTAGGGTTGTATGAATCGAAAAATAGGATCGGATCATCCGATCCATTTGTACCCCTGATCGCAATGCGTATTTGTCTGATCTTGGTTGTATTTAGTTATTTAATCGACTCTTTTACTGTACTCAATGACATTTGGTCTAATTTGCACATGAACATTTCGGCTACAATATTTATGCCATACAAGTATTTAATTTGTACCAGCCGTTGTCATTTGCCATCTTTAATTCTTCAAACGATTTCTTAAATTCACTGCACCTCAAGACTATTTCCTGAATTTAAGTTATGGAAGTTTAATTTTGACGAGAAAAAAAAAGTAAACGTGAAAGTAAAGCAGCAAATTTGACAAATAGAAAGATCTATTATCTTCTAATGTATTAAATGGGATCGGCTTGGATGATGATGATGATGACGACGACGATGACGATAAATATTAATTAGAGAATTCATGCCACATGGAGCTTTAAATAACTGGAAAAAGTGAGAAATTACGAGCAATGTGCAAAGCTAATTAAAACTAGAAAATATTATATTTGTGATGGGTGATCAAAGAGAGAAATGGGATGGTGATGGCTTATACATAGGGTGGATTAACATTACGTACTTGTTATATCAACGTGACTTAATTATGGTGATGACACTTATACATAGGATGGATTCACTTGCATTGTTAGCTAAGAAGTCTAATATTGCTACGTAGTTGGCGCGCGGTGGTGGATGACGCCCCTGAGGCTGAGGTGGTGGTCCATCTCTTTATCGCGGTGATGGTGGTGCATGCTCAGACGGTGGACAATCATGAGAGGGGGATGGCTTTCCATGTTGCGGTGGTGACAAATACTCATGCGAAGGTGGAGCCTGTCCCCTCTGGTGTGGTGGTCGTCCGTACGTAGGTGGCGAAGGCTGCCGTCCAGAAGTTGGTGGTTGATACCCGTGACCGTGAGAAGGTGGTGGTGGTTGCCCATGCTTAGGCGCCGGATGGTGCGTCTTAGAAGGTGGTGGTGGATATCCCTGAGAGGGGGGTAATTGCCTATGTTGTGGTGGCGATCGATGCCCATGGGAAGGTGGTGGTTGATGTCCATATGGTGGTAGTGGATGGTGCCCCTTATTAGGAGGTGGTGGATACCTATAGGATGATGGTGGTTGTCCGTGCTGAGGTGGTGGATGATGCCTCCTAGGAGATGGTGGTGGATAACCTCGAGAGGGAGGTAGCGTTACTTGCTGTGGTGGTGATGGGTACCCATGAGAAGGTGGAGGCTGTTCGTGTTGTGGTGGTGGTTGTCCATGCTGGGGTGGTGGATGGTGCCTCCTAGGAGGTGGTGGCGAATATCCCCGACAACAAGGGGGTGGCTTTCCATGCTGCGGCGGTGATTGATACCCATGAGAAGGTGGAGATTGTTTGTGGTGTGGTGGTGGTTGTACATACGTAGGTGGTGAAGTCTGCCCCCCAGAAGGTGGTGGTTGATAGCCATGAGATGGCGGGGACTGTCTGTGTTTTGGTTTTGGAGGTGGATGTTGGCCCCTACTCCAAGGAGGTGGGTGATGGTGATCATGAGAAGGTGGTGATTGTCCTTGGGTAGGTGGTGGATACCCATGAGAAGGTGGAGGCCTCCCTTGGTTATTGGGTGGTGGTTGTCCATGGGAAGGAGGGTATCCATGGCCATGGGGTGGCGGAGGATAATATCCACGGGATGGAGAAGGATGCACTCGTTGAGGTGGCGACTGGCCGTGAGAGGGCGTAGTACAATTGAGATGAGGTGGATGCTCGTAATGGGGTGATGAGTATGGCTGCCCCTGCTGGACCTGGACCGGCGTCAACAATTGATCATCAGAATACGATGGTGGTACTTGTCTTTCATCACTCCATGGCTGACTGTGGTTGTAGTGGTCCTGATCTCCTTTCAGGTCCCTCTGAGCTCCGGCAAACAAAGGAGTTGTGCTTACTACTACTATCACTGAAACCAGTGGCAGCAGAAGCAGCCTATGGCTATGTGAACGAAACCCCTTCATTTTGGGTTTGAAACCAGTTGAGGTCTTTTCTGATATGAACCGAACGTCAAGACCGATTGAGTAGTAGAGAATGGCTAAAGTTGGGTTTATTTATATAGAAGAGTTCGCACTTCACAGTCCACACACACTCTCTCTTTCTCTGTTGTTTACTAAAAGCTTTATTAGTGAAAAAGAAAGACAAAACAGGCGTGGGTTCATGCATGCATGTAGAGACCATATGACAAAGACTTGTCTCAGCTGTACGATTCGATGCAAGCAACATAATCTTATAGCTACCACGTTAGACTAGATATCAAGAGGTGGCGGGTTTTGATCACGGTGAGTGGGTCTACGTCTGTAGTACTTTCCAAATATGACAGTGAAGATCGAACAGGGGTTAACACTTATTAATACAACCACAACATTTGGAATCCACACATTCCAAGACGTAGCAAAACACAGCTGTTGCGTATGCATGTGAATGAGTAGGGACTCAACACTCATCAGCACTGTGGTCTGTGGTTGGTAGATTAGCTATTTCCGCGTTGTCATTTATTACTGATCGTCCACGTCCACAGTGGATATATGATGATCGTTTGGTAGTCTCAACTCTCAACTATCAAGTCTCTGTAGCTCAATTAATTGGTTTCGCTCTCATCACGCCATGGTAAAAAAAATCGGTTTTTATACAGCCAAGCCAGCCAGTACTGGACAGAATACAAAATTTAGATATGTCTTTTCGTAACTCCCAGTTTGTCTGTCGTTGGTAAAAAAAAAAAATTTCAAAACTGTATAATTTGTCGAGAAAGGAAAAGGGAGAAACTTGTGAATTGCCGATTGTCAGCAATCAGCATGATTTTCGGCTTTCTGAATCGCAATAAAATGGCTCCTAAAAGAGAGTCGTTTGTTTGCTTTCTTTATTTTTTGTTTTGATTGGGAAAAAATGTCTAACAATTGTCTGACACGATCAATGTCAGGGACTGAACCATATTCTAAGTGTCCGACACTACACTTGAGCAGTAAATTCGGAATTGCAGATGTATTTAGGGAATTAATTGTGTTATAAATGATTTCAACAACCAAACATATTGTGTGAAAAATATTTGAAGGAAAAAATAAAAGCGTTTGGCTAAAAGTGTATACATAGAACAACATCCTTTCAGACAGTAAAAGAAGGTAGGTGTTGGAATTTGAAGGTTTGGAGTGGAGGGTAAAGTAGAGCTAAATAATTTATGAAAGACCTTTAATTTGATCTTTTTTTTTTACCCCATTCTACGGAATTTGGGGTTAACATTTAATTTTAAGATCCATCTTATAAAAGTTAAAATCTGATCATTTACCCCCATAGTTTAGGGACTTTGGCACTTGGATGGTATGCTGGAGTGATCGAGATTTCAAATTTCCATCATTTAATTTAGCCTACCTAAATGGTGTACCTAATGATCCCTAACATTTTGGTCATCAAAGTGTGGTCCTCTAAGATCAGTGAAACAATTCCAATCATCCAAAAATGTGTCGATATTTCAACTAATCAAACCCATCCAAATTGTATACCAAATTAATCCCCCCCCCCCAAAAAAAAAATTATAAATAAAGTGGTCTCCTAGAGTAATGGATTGATTAACCCTATCCATCCAATTGATGTACTAATTAAATTAGATTGCTTGGATGGTTGAGATTGAGATTAATTTATTGATATTATTAGAATACTTAGATGGCTTGGATCATTGATTTGATTTAATACATTATTATTTGGATGTTCTAAAGAAATCTTGGTATATCATTTAGATGGCTGAGATTAATTGACTAAGCTTAAGACATTTTGATGGTCTGTATCTTGTATCCCTTCATATAACTCAGTAATTTTTTTCAGAAACTTTCATGCATTACTTGAATTTTCGAGATTAGTCAAAATCTTAGTACATTACTTGGATGGCTAAGATCCATTCATTTTCTTAAGAGACCACTTTGAAAGCATAGATTAAGGGGTGAGCAAAAAACTTAGGAATGACGCCTAAGTTGTGGTATATACATATATACATATATATAGTGCTTAGTCATTATCGGCTAATGCATAACCAGTACACAAACCGGCACCAGTTGAATGACGCCTAAACTGGGCAATCAAATATGGTCAATTCCGTCCATCCATGCCACGTGTTTGTCTTCTACAAAACCAATCCAGGAATAATGTATTGATGTTTTTATACTCTAATTCCCTTGTCTCAGCCGAGCTTCAAAGTGTGATACACGTCTCAGTAGAGCTGCAGAAGTGCATCATAGAGGTGTAAAATGGCTGTGCTGGCCCGTGGGCTGTTTTGGGCCATGCTCCCTTCTCTGGGATAATTTGGGGGGTCGGCCCAACACAGTTCAAGCCCGTGCAGTGGGTCGGGCTGGCCTGTAGGCCAAGCTGGATCATGGATCGGGTCAAAGTTTTTTATTTAAAAAAAAATTTAATTTTATATGAATTTTTATGTATACAATTGCTTATATATGCAATAATTAAATAAATTAGTATAATAAATTTAAAAACAACTGTTTATTTTATTAATATATTATATAATTATAATTTATTTAATATTATATATATAAATAATATATATGGGTCGTGTCATGGGCCATGTCGACAGGCCCTCTTAGTAATGCCGTGCTGGTCCGGCCTACGGACCTAGAACCCCAAGCCCAACACAACCCATACAATTGTGCTAGACCGCAAACAGCACAACCTGATTTACACCTAGTGTGTCAATATATTAAAAATCTTGTACTTCTATATTTTTTATTTTTTTTCAAAAATAAATTTTTAGATAATATATATATATATATATTATTAAAAAAAAGAGTTCCAAAACACCTATCCAAAAGATACGATACAATACATTCGATAACGAAGCGTATCCTATCAAGATTTTGAGCCTTGATCTCAGCCTTTTTTTTTTCTGAAGGGACTTCTGCTATTTTATTTATAATGCTTATACTTGTTTTGGCTTCACGTCAAAACAACAACCATTGCATCCTAATATTTTTTTTTTTTATATGGTAATTCAAAACAAGGCGCTACAAAAGATGGGGGTAGCACAGCCCCATGCAGCATTCAGCAATCATCTTGAATTTAAGTCCATTAATGGGTTTTAGTGTCTTCCACTACTCATTATTAAATAGAAGTCCATAAGATAATTATAACATGTTAGATGTGCAGAACACACATATCTTACGATACGATGGACATGACCCATTTATGTTTTCAGGATAACACGTCTGAATGCGTTAATTAGTAATTCACTCCTCAAGGATCAAGGGCGAGGGTGCAACGAATAACAAAGTTGCAGAATTCCAGATCTGATCAAGACAAGGGCTGAGTGGTTTGCCTCGCCTAGCTAGCTAGCTTTTGTGAATTAGATGTTTGGGAGTTGGGACTGTGTGGAAATTAAGGTGTTGAAGATGATTTACGTACCGCCGTTCTTGGACAATATTAATTTGTGGAAGTTTATATAGTTCCAATTTCCAGGTTGTGAGCAACTAAAGTCATGGCAATTGCCACCCACTCCTATTATCATCATCAGGGATATTAATGGTTTCAGCAGTCTCTGAGCCCGAATGACTCTGCTTGGATCCACTGGCCGGCCACTACAACGACGGCCACGGCCCACTGAAATTTCTTTAATAAGGTCCATGCTGATAATAAGTAGGTGCTAGCAAAGAAGGAGCTTGATTGAAATAAGCCATTTCCTAGTGAGTAATGTAATGATCTGCACTCTTTGATTGATACTCCATATGTCTATCTGCCAAGATTTTACTAGAGTGTGGACTGTGGACCAACAAATAAAAGACATTCCGATCGATTGCAAATGTTCCATACTTCTAGTATATATGAAGATCCAATTTATCATATCCACCTCCTAGTCCTAAACCAAAAAGTTCCAAACCAAATGGCTTAACTATATAAACTTACATGTTCCAATTTAAACAGTGAAGGAGAACCAAACTAAGCTGTCATCCTAAGGACTTAAGGAAGGTCGTGCCATATACATTCAGTTGAAAGTTACTGGCTCCGCAATCTCTCTCTCTCTCTCTCAGACGAAATGGGACCGGTATAGGGGACACATGTTCAATTTTGAGGCAGTGGCCATACTTGCTATATAAGACCCTGAATGCAGACTTAAGGGTACCAACTTGAATTGTGGCTCTTTTCCTTCTCTGGGTAATTAATTCTTTTCCGTTTATGAGGTTCCTGTAAGGAGGAAGAAGAACTGAAGAAGAAGAAGAAGAAGAAGGAGGCGGCCTCAAAATATAGTCAAACCCTTTATTCCAAATCCCAACCCAGTTCAAATATTGAAGTTACTGGTTCAATCTTTTCAATTTTTACCCGTCTAGCTTAGTCCCGATCCGTGATCCGTCCCATCAGTCACCCATCTCCGGTTTGGTTTACGACGGTCAACACTAACCGAGTTAGTTTTTGTTGACTGCTGAGTGCTGACAGTGAAGGAACGAGGCTATGCAGCTGAGATTCTCATCGCCAATATAATGTACTTGCCCGTAAGTCTTCATTCTCCTCCTCTCCCTCGATTCAAAACCCTCGTTCTGTTTTTTCCTTCTTAGCTCTCTCTCTCTCTCTCTCTCCCAAGAGCATCAATAAGCCATGACGATATTCGACTCCCTCCGTCGATATCTCCTCCCTTGCTTCCCCACCAGTACTGCAACCACAGCGGCGGCCGCCACCACCAAGAAGCGCTTAAGCACCTCGTTAAGGGACGACAACCACCACCAAGACCGTCAACATAATCAAGAAGAGTCGACAACAACCACGGAAGAAACCGACAGCAACGATCAAGTCCCACCGCGTCCATCAAAATCGATGGTGACTGGTACCATCTACGGCCACCGCAGAGGCCACGTGTGTTTCTGCATTCAACAAGATCGTCTGAACTGCAAGCCCTCCCTTCTCTTCGAACTTTCCATACCCACCTACGTTCTTGTCAAAGAAATGCAGTGTGGGATCCTCCGGATCGCTCTCAAGTGCGACCGCCCCGATATGAATTCATGTCCGTTGCATTCTATACCCATTTGGACCATGTACTGTAATGGACGTAAAGTTGGCTTCGCAAAGCGGAAGAGGGTGACGGACAAGGACCGTTTGATGTTGAAGACGATGCAGTCAATATCGGTTGGCGCAGGTGTGATCCCGGCGGCGTCGGAAGGAGAGGGGGAGATCATATACATGAGAGCGAGTTACGAACGAGTCGTTGGGAATGCTGACTCCGAGTCGTTTCATCTCATCAATCCGGATAACTGCCCTGGTCAGGAGCTCAGCGTCTTCTTGCTGAGGTCTCGTTGATTGTTTGTCTATTTGGAATTTGGATTGAAGAGAAGGGTGTTGCCGGGAAGAAGGCTGGAACGTCTTTTTATCTTTAATATCTTTTGTCTTGTCCTTTTCACTCAGGGGCCCCCAAGGCAAAGGCATACAGGCTACAGCGATCGAGCTAGCCAAGAATTTATGGTTTTCTGCTTTAGGGTTCTTTTGGCTTTCTTCAGTTTAGAAACCCAAGAGAGATATATCTGGGGCAGGAACTTGATTGAAAAGAGGGTATTACTATTTACTATTTACAGACAAAAAAGCAAATGACCTTAATATTTTCATTTTCTTTCTTCATCTTTAATTAATTCTTTATGGGTTTTTTGTTTTTTAATTTTAGGGGGACCGGGATTAAAAAGTGGAGAATTACCCATTGGTTTATCGGGAATTGAATTGATCCCTTTGCTGGGATGAGAAATCATTTATTGTTTACTTTGTACGACCTCCATTTGAATAACATCATAAAAGTTGCATTCATCTCTGTATTTATCATGAGCACTAATGCTTTCCATGGAGAAAAAAAGATCATTACTTGATATATTTGTTAGCACTCAAGTGTTGAGGTTTCTTGTTTTGCAAAGTGGAGCTACAATCAGGAACAATTGGGCCGCTTACAGAGAAGAGTTGAACAAATTAACAGGGTAGAAAGCTGGCAAAAGGGTTGTTGTCACAGGTAACGATCGAGCAGGGCCACCCCTTTAAAAGCAGTGGCGCAGGCGGTACCAATCTTAATCTACACAATGGCCATAAACATCATGTGTAAGAGCATAAAGTCAATAGACAAACTTTGGTGGAATGGATCACCAAGGGAGAGAAAGTTGCATGCATTCATCAAACAGAAAAAAAGGATCACCATTCCACCAGGCCGAAGAAGGAAGGAGGAGATGGCTTTAGAGTACTTGTTTAGAAGATTTATGATGATGATGATGGTGATGAATAAAGCACTTACTTATATGTATCAAATACTTGTGGAGATTAGAAATATCCTTTTTGGTTGGTAGCAACAAGGAAGTATGTTTTTTGGGCCAAATAGCAGAATCATCATTCCTCATGGTGGAAACAACTAATAAAAATATAAAGGGTGAGAAAGGTTTGGCGGGTGGGATCTACTAGATAAATTGAGGAATATATTCGACGATAGATAATACAGGAAAATAATATATAACCTTAAAATAACTATTCAGAAGCCAAATCGATATCTATTAGTGAAGAAATATTAAAAGAAAACCCAAATATTAAAAGAAAACCCAATTGTGGTAGGCCAATGATTCAATTTTTGGGTCAAATATGTCAACCTTTGATGTTATAATTAAATAATAAAAACTTTATACAAGATTAAAACATAAAAAATTAAAAAAAAATACATAAATTTTGTAGAAAACATTTGGGCACTTCTCTAATGTTGTATGAATGAGGTTGTAGAACTTTTTACTAAAATATCCCTATTTGTGAATTTAATCACTCTCTTTAACTGTAAGATAATAAAATGTAATTTGAACTATTAAGTCTCATATCATTTAATTCCCTCTTACAAATTCTTACATTTAAGGTATTAACTCTCATTCTCTCTTATTTAATCTTATATTAAGGTATTTTTTTCACAAACAAATTCTACTAATTAGATCCTTATCCAATACTTTTAACAACATAAAACCTATGTTTTTTTTAATTGACCCAAAAATGAAACCACTCTTTTGACCATGCGGTTGGTATGCATTTTAACCATCTGGGTCAAATAGGTCAATCCATGATGTCATAATTAAATAATAATAATTAAAAAAAGATAAAATAAAAAAGTGTGGTAAATAAGAATTATTTTTTATAAAAAATAAAATATAAAAACTGGTCATATTATTACTATCATTATCATCATCATTAAAATTGTCACGTGCAAAGAATGTATGCATTTACTAGTTTAAACTAAAAAAAGAGGACAGTTCAATTAAACTATCCTTATTGTGGTAAATGCTTTATAGGATATTACCATGGCAGTAATTGTGAGTGCAGAGTAACGGAGATCCCTTTAAGTTGCAATACTTAGTAGTTTGCACTTGAGTGGTTTGGAAAAACTTGGACCCCTAAGGATAACACATGATAATCACCCAAGTAGAATAGTGAGTTCTTGGTGGGTAGTGAGATTCATAGGTGTATTGTTCCATGGTTACAAAATCACGAGAAAGAGTTACTTGTAAGAACTACTTGGAGCAAAATGAAGGCCACCAGAAAGAAATGTCTACCCATTGCTAGAGTAAACTACTAGGATGTCAGCTACAATAGCATAGTGGTATGTCATGATTATAGAGATATGTAACATAAATACAGTTCACTGTCATGTTAGAAACTTGTACCTCAATACAGATTTCAATGGTATCTAGAAACAAAAAAGAAAAAAAATAGAGATAAAGAGAAGTAACTAAAATAGTGAGAACGTGTAGAATTATGTGATTTGACTTATAGACTACATCCATGGGTGAATAAGGAGCAAAAATCCTCTATGAAATCAAAGATGGTGAAGAGTACAGAGTTGTGCACATACAACCTTCCTCATAGAAAACCTTAAACCCCAAATACACCCAAAATCATTTGACTTCTCTCCCAAGCCAACGACTGTTATACAAGAGACCCCCCCCCCCCAAATACATAACTCTTCTTATTCGGGTCAGACCCATAAACTGAATATGGATCGGGCCCATATGCTTACACCACAAACAACTATGAAATTTTGCTTTTAAGTTTTTTCTCAACTTAGGTGGTGTCCGATAAACCTGAAATTTGAAATCTAGAAAGTTAAAAAGATACTATTTGTATCTGAAATCTGGAAAAAAAAAAGAAGCATAAATGTTTTTTCACTTTTTAGAGGCTCTGAATAGATAAATTCATTTGTGTTGGATCAAACCTTCAGCATCTGAAATTCCTTAATTTTACTATTTTACCCTTAGAATAGACTATTTGGTAAAAATTATAAAAATAATTTATTAGAATCAAAATAATATTGAAAAATATGAATAAATTCCAAAGAAAAGTAATAAAATAGTTAATAATTAATAAAAAATAAATATGAAATAATTAATACAAATTAAAATATTTAATAATTAATACAAATAATATATTCTAAGAAATCAATCCTCCACTTCCAGACATAAATCTAGCAAAATGATCCTCAATAACAAGCCCTTTAGCATTCAAATCTAGGTTCATGACAATAGTTTTGAAACTGGGAGGATTTGAATCATTCTCCGATGAGGATCTTTCCATCAATCTTTCCAGCAACAACTCTGAGATAGGCCTTTTAGTCGATCTTTCTTAGGGATGGCAATTTTTACCATCCCCGATGAGGACTCGACTTCCCCGACCTGATGGGGTCGAGGATGGGGATGGGGATTGCGGTCTCCACCCTGCCCCAACCCCAATTATTTATTTTTAAATATTATTTATATTAAACATATATTATTTATATTATATATATATATATATCAAAACATTATTTATAATTTAATTTTTTTTATTTTAAGTAAATTTATTTTTCAAAAAAATACTATTATCTAAAAAAATTGGGGATTCGGGTCCCCGCAGGGAACCCATATCTCCTTGGACACTATTGCACCAAAAAACAATGACGACCAAGAAGACAGTTATTCTCCTTTCATTAGAAAGTTATATACCCAACAAAATGAGTCGCTAGAATCGGAGTAACTCTGGCCACGGATTCCTCCACCTTCTTCATAACCCAGTAAACCCCAAGAGCAGGAGGAGAACCTGGTTAAAGAATTGTGTGTCCCATCACCGGCCACTACCACCACCATTGATGTCAAAAAAGAAATTGTTGATGCTTATGCATTGCTGGAGGTTCCACTTTCTTCAAAACCCAATAAACCCCAAGAGCAGGAGGACCAAGTTTAAGAATTGTAGGTCCCATCACGGACAACCACCACCATTGATGTCAAAACAGAAGCTATTAATACTTGTGCATCAATGGAGGTTTCTGGACGTGAAAGACTAAAGAGACATCAGACCGGGGTGGCTGGTCATGTTTAGATACCAGATATATGGGTGCACAAAGATCTTCTAAAGGATTGGATTAATTGTTCGACTTTCAATTCATCACTTGTTCCCAACGGACTAATGTCTGCGTGTGTGGCACTAATCGAAGAGAATCGACAAACGAATTTTGGTAGATTGAGGATAGAAAATCGGTGTTAAATCTTCTCTTTGTACGACTTAAGCTTCAACTTTTGATCTAATAATCACACTGTTTCTTCAATTTCATTTTTGTCGGTGTCTCTGTGTTCTTGCTTTCAGATTGGAATACTGGACACTCAATGATATAGACGAGTAGCTTCCAGTTCTCGTTGAGTTTTGACATTAATCCCGATGAACAAATGCTTTGCAAATCATTGCTGAATTAATGGCCATTGCCTTCTTATTCTCTCTTTTTTTTCCTTCTTTTAATTTTCTTTAAACAATTTACACATCATATGTTCTTTTCTGTGGTTCAGTCTCAGTCTCAGTCTCAAGGTAGAAGACAATGAACAGTGTCTTCTTTTTAAAGGTAATTTTGACATTTTAAACAGATCACTGACAATTGATTAACCGCAAAGACCAACTTTACACTTTTTGAAAGTGTAGATACTACAGTAACACATTTGAAAGTTCAGATACTAATTTGACACTACCCCCAAAGTTCAGGATAAATTTATTATACGACCAAACAATTGGAAAATATTAAAAATGATAAAATACTAAGATATGAAACAGCACATGTACCATATATCACGGCAAATATGAATGTATTTAATGGTATTTATATGCCACATGACAACATATATTAATGTCGCATGGAAATCTATTAAAGGCCACATAGCATTTACACGCGTGTCAGGCATTTTATTGTATTCAAAGTTCAAACACAACATTTTACTTTTTATCTTAAAAAGCATTCTTTTGAATGTTTTGCCAAACATAACTCACGTAAAAAAAATACACGTGCTATCTACTTTCGTGCTTTTGAAATATATCCAAACATGGCCTAAATCTTCTGTTCGTGTTTTTCCGGCCATCATTAAGCCAGGAAAGTTGGTCACGTCCAACAACGAAGAGAGGCAGACTTTTTCAACCACCATATAGACTGGATTTCATTTGAAGAAACCTTGTCGTTTCCGAGTTCAACCACAAGAGTTGGGTGAAAAAAACTAACGGAAAAAATTGGAAAGAAGAACAAAATGCAAAAAGGAAAAGCATCGTCTCTAAGAGTGGACGCTTTCTCGTGTCCCTAACCTAGCCTATAACCAAATCGGTCAGTTAAGTTACGAGACCAAATACATGTACAGAGAGCACCATAGTTTCCGTAAAAACAAAAAGCAATCTTCGGGCGTCGATCACTCCACGCAAGTGTTGCCTCCGGACCCATGATTCCCGAATCTCCTCCCCCATAAAAACCTCCGAAATAACAAATAATCAAAGATGGATAACACTATCGGCACCAGATTCACATCTCCATGAGTTTGAAGAAGCTTTGTAGGTTTATATCTTCTCCAGGTATTTCTTTGCCAAGGCTACAAGGGACAAAGGTCAACTTTAAGGAAAGAAAGTGCTGCAATTAGCCAAAAAAAAAGATGAAAGTTAAAGAAGACAAAAGTAACTGTCGTCAAGGATTAAACACCAAAATAGTAAGAGCTAACACAATCATACATGTAAAATGAACCTCCCCAAATGTTTTACCAAAAATACAATAAAACAAAAAGCAAAAATAAGCATTCAATATTCACAATAAGACTAATGAGAAAAGAGTTTTATTTGATGTAGAACCAAAAATGGAAAAAGTACCTAGTTTATACACCCATCTTATATAAATGTCACTTCGCAAAAAATATCACCAATATGTCGGATGAAATTGCTTGGAGTTGGATCTAGGGATGTCAATGAGTTGAGCTCAGCACAGGTTACACAACTTTTTTTATTGTATTAATATCAAACAAGCGGGAGCAACTATAGACCATGTACACCCATCTTATATAAAGGACTACAATTTCTGTCAAAATGTATCCCTGTCAAAAAAAACCGTTAGTCTATCCCTCTGAACTCCTTGTGCACAGAATTATGCCCAGAAGCCTGGCCCAGCCCAGCCCAGTTGAACAGTTTGGTGATCCAGCAACCTCGTTACAATCCTGGAGTGGGTCAACCTCTAACCTGTTATTTAACAAAAAAAATATATGTTGATTCAGTCAACAACCGGTTGTCCTGGACTACTGACCAATCCACAGGTTACCAGTTTTTGTATTTTTTGAAATTCTTATAATGATGAATTAACGATGGCACAAGTTCACACAACGACCCAAATGGTTGAACCATTGATCCATTGACATGAAGAGAAAAGCAGTTCAACCTATGGTCTGGGTTTTAAATCACTGACCTCAAATTCAAACCCAACCTGAAGGCACATGAAACCAAATGCAAATGGTTCCAATCTGTCATCATCATCATCATCTAAGCCTTATCCCAACTATATGGCATCAGCTACATGAATCCTGCTCAACCATTCCATTCTGTTCAGTGCCATATCCATTGTTAAATTATAGGCCCGCAAATCATTTGCCGCTACTTCAAGCTATATCCTTTTTCGTCAGCCCCTAGCTATACTAGTGAAAGCTTTACAAATCCCTCAACATCATTATATCACCTGTTATAAGTTTCATGTTGTGTATTCATGAATGTTTGTGGCATAGGCTCTTCTAGTGAAATTTTCATGCCACTGTAAATATCTGTCATTTCTAGACCATTTGCCAATCTCTCAACCCAATGGATATTAGCAACCATTTTCTCACATAGGCTCAGCACCTTCCACATATTAATTCTAATCTCCCAAGGACCATTTTGCTTGTTATTGATCCAAGCTTGTTATTAGCAATCTTTAAGCCTTGAATTACTGCCATCAATTCTTCTTTTATGGAATCTCTCACACCAATAGACCCCAAGAAGAGGCAAATCATGTATCCATTGGCATCCCCGAAAATAACCCCTAGACATGAATTTCCAGGATTGCTTAGGCTGCAACCATCAAAATTCAGTTTAATTTGAATATTCATAGGTGGGATCCATATCATAGAAACAGAGTCTCTCAATGAGCATGAGTTGGCAACCACCTGCCACCCTCTAAAAACATCATTAATGGAGAAATACCTAGAGACATCCAATGATTTCACCCAGTGAGTAACCCTTATTGAGATATTTTCAATGAAAGTCTCCATTGAAAGGCTTTTGTCGAGGAAGATTCCTGAACCTCTCTCACCAAATGGACTATAGCACCACAGCCCTAGTACACCTCACCTCCATAAGATATTTGATCTTTTTCCTTGCCGGGGAGAAAAAAGGTACCCATAAATAAGCTACTAATGTCTGAATTGTGCAAGTCTTGTGTCTTCCTTCTCAACATGAACCGTCATTCTCTCTTTTCTCCATCTTTTGTCTTTTTTCTATATTTCTATTGTATTCTAATAATTCTCTGTTACAGCTTCTCAAGATATTCCAGTTAACATCTCATCTGACTTTCAACAAGGCTTTAATTCACTCATTAGAATCCTTAAAACAATCTAAGTTTTCCTATTTTCTTTTAATTCCCTTGATTTTAATTTTTCCTAGTTGTTTTCTCTTTGGGGAACTTCATCTTTCTGTGCAAGATTAATTCAGATCCCTCTCAAATTCAGTCTCCCTTATTTATACTATATTATAACTTATTCTATCAGGTTTCAATTCAAAGTTCCAACTAAAACCCTAATTCTTAGAAATTTCAGGTTCTCTCATGGAGGATTTTCATTCTTATTTTAGACAGAGGTAGTATAGGTATTTCTAAAATGATGTGGCAAGCCAAGATAGGCCAGAAAGGAAATAAGCACTTGAAATAAGCCCAAAATTTGAACTTTTCAAATAAGTGCTTCTCAGAATAAGCACTAATTTCAGGCTTATTTCCCAAATGCAAATAAGTGCTTATTGGTGTATCCCGGCCCAAAATAAGTGTTTATTTGAATAAGCACTTATTTTTAAGCACTCCCAAAAACCCAAATAGGTCAGTCCGCCCATCTCTTGTAAAACCTGCTACATCAATCTCCATGACTTGTAAGAAAAAAACCAACAACAACACAACACTTACAAGTAGATGGAAAGGAAAACAAAACCATGACTTGAGGATTTCAATAAGTCACGTTCAGTACAGCCTTGCCTCAACCCAAATTCAACCTTGAAGAAGGTTAGATCAGGTTCACTTAACGAGAACTGAGTCAACTGATCCTAGATCCTGTTAAGTCTGCTCCAAACCTATCCACCAGATAGGTTCAGATCAAGGTAGATTTAGTGTGTAACCCAAACCATAGGTGGCCTTAGTTGGACCACATGTAATAAATGTCAAATATTATACTTCCTACTTTTACTGCTTAATAACATCACTAAGGGACTACCAGACTAGCAGAGATAAAACAATGTTTCACAGCGTGGAGGCATTACACTAGGCATCCCACTACTTGGATGTAAGAGGTATGGTTCAGAGCACAAGTGTAAACCTGCTCAAGAAGAGGAGAGAAGAGTTCTTGTTTTCTTGTTTATTTTTTATGAAAGATGTCTTGTACTAAGAAGAATGGGGATGCACGATGCTAGCTGAAAGGGGATCCTGACAAAGTAGCATGAGGCATATGAGGTGTATGCCTCTAGTACGTCTCATACAAAAGGCATTTGAGACATACACCTCAGGCATCAACACCTCAAGTAGGAAGTCCAAATCTGCTAGTAACATTGTGCTAGTCACATAGCACCTAACAAAAGCAAAATTGGACATCTGTCTACAACACGTAGAATGCTTCTGCTGCTGCTTGTGTGAAATGGAGGCTCATCCATTAACCAGTAAGAATCCTCTCACTCTTTCCCATTCACATTCTCTTCTTCATTTACCTTGCAATGCAAAGTCCAAACATAAATCCTCCCTTCTCTTGCACAACAAAAATTGATTCCCCAAACTGAAATACCTTCTCTCTTTCCCTCTTCTCTTAATTCCTTGTTATTGGAATCATCGTTTCAGAACTGAATTTCCAAAGTCAGATAGAATTCAAACTCCAACACTTCGACATTTGCACAAACTTGTTGATTTGTATTTCAATTCTATGGGATGTATTTGTAGTCGTATGAGACTACTAACAGCCCAAGCTTTAGTGTACAATCAACAAGAAACTGAGAAGATGAGAGGAGAGAATGGGAGGAGAAAGAGAGAAGAGGAGAAGAAGAATTCGAAGGAGGGGTTTTTAAAAAACGAGAGGATGCTTTATCTGCTGCCCCCCTCTTTCTATTTATATTAATTCTTAAATAAAGATAAGACTGCTGGCAAAAAAAAATACTAATAAAAGACTAGTAACTAATTGTAAACTGACTCAAATAACTAATTGTAGGCTGGCACTAACAATTGACTGTATACAAGTACAATAAAGTGGTGGGGACCACATCAGTTGTCTCTACACTCCCCCTCAAGTTGGGAATAGATGTTTGTCATTCCCAGCTTGCATAGATCTGCTTCTAACTTCTTTGAAACTGCCTTGGTGAGAAGATCGGCAAGCAGCATGTTGGAGCTGATAATATGGAAGGCATACTTCTTGAGATGCAACCCTTTCCCTAATAAAATGTCGATCTACTTCAATATGCTTAGTTTTGTCATGTTGTACCGGGTTATGAGCTATATTAATAGCAGTCTGATTATCACGGTACAACATTAGAGGGTTCTCATAAGCAATACCCAATTCACAAAACAGTGATTTCAACCATAGTATTTCAGCCACACCATTTGCCATGGACCGATATTCAACTTCAGCACTGGAACGAGAAACAACATTTTGTTTCTTGCTCCTCCAAGAAAGAAGGTTACCTCCTACAAAAGCACAATATCTAGAGGTAGACCTTTTATCATCAACAAAATCGGCCCAATCTACACCTGTATAAACTTCTATCTTCATGTGCTTATTATCCTTAAATAGTACACCTCTGCCTGGACACCTCTTTAAATATGCCAATATCCTCTCAACAGCAAGTAGATGTGTAGTTCTAGGAGAGTGCATATACTGACTAACAACAATGACTGCATAGCTGATGTCTAGTCGTGTGAGACAGATAGAGGAGTTTTCCAACTAATCGTTGGAACATAGCTTTATCTTCAAAAGGCTCTTCACCTTCTGCACTGATACTGTGATTCTGTTCGATAGGTGTGTCAGCTAGCTTAACACCCAACTTTCTTGTTTCCTCCAACAAATCAAGGACATACTTCCTTTGAAAAACAAAGATTCAAGCTTGGACCAAGCTACCTCAATACCCAAGAAATATCGTAACTCTCCCAAGTCTTTTACCTCAAACTCTTGATGGAGAAATTGCTTAAGAGACTCAATTTCACGGTTATCACTCCCTGTCACTACAATGTCATCCACATATACAACAAGTAAAGTTAAGGAAGAATCCACCTTCTTAATAAACAAAGTGTGATCTGACTGAGCCTACACATAGCCAAACTTTCTAAGGGCTTGTCTGAATCTATCAAACCAAACTCTAGGGGATTGTTTTAGTCCATAC